CCTGAGCTACGTTTTGTGCAGATGACCATAGAATGGGAACATTCATGCTATGCTCCCCAGAAGCAGGGAAGGCCAGAAGAAAAGTTGGTGTGAACAAATTTTAGTTTATGATTTAGGAAGGGGTCAAATTTGGTGAATGCTCAGCTAATCTGGTTCACTCCCTAGAATCCCCCATCTCCAAATCTCAAGACATAAACTCTTTTTTTTTTTTAAGATTTTATTTATATATTTGTCAGAGAGAGAGAGAGAGAGAGAGAGCGAGCACAGGCAGACAGAATGGCAGGCAGAGGCAGAGGGAGAAGCAGGCTCCCCACAGAACAAGGAGCCCGATGCGGTACTCGATCCCAGGACGCTAGGATCATGACCTGAGCTGAAGGCAGCTGCTTAACCAACTGAGCCACCCAGGCGTCCCTCAAGACATAAACTCATAGGGGGAGGGGCTGATTCTGGATGCGAGAGAACAGATAGGAGGGAAAACCAGAGGTGATTTTGCTATGATTGGGGTTTGGTAGAAAAGGAGGTGTCACTTTTTGACCAAAATAGAATTCTAGGGGCCAGTCATCATCAAGAACCTCAGGGACAAAGAGACTGTCCTGGTCCAGTTCAAGTGTGGAGGCTTGGAGACATGGGGAACAAGTGGAATATGTGAGGGAGAAGTGGGGAACCACAACTAGAGTGAGACATGGGAGAGCAAAAGGGACTGGGTAGGACAGCATGTTCAGAAATCCACCAAGAACTTCTCTACCAGGATCCGGTGCCCCAAATAACCTAGGTACTTCCGTTGGCTTCTATTCTCTACTGTATGATATCTCTGCACCAGGAAAATACATAGTCGCTCTACCTAGGAAATTTTTTACATAGATTACTGTGTAATCTTCTTGAAATTCCATCCATTGAAGAAAACATTATTGTTAAACGGAAGATGCAAAACACTAAATTGTGTAGTGAGAACGGTAACAATGATGTTAAAATGGAGGGTAAACATAATTTGAAAGAACTCACTAAATATCTTCTTCACTCATCTTCTCCGGTGGTTTTTTGTCAGCTCTCTGTATTTCAGATTTTCCAATAATGATTATTATTTTTATAATTTTAAAAAAAGTTACTTAAATGAATCAGGATTTATGGGCATTTTTAAGATACTTTCATGAAAGGAGGGAGGTAGATATTGATAATTTCAGTGTCAATGGAAATGTGTTTTTATTAAAAAGATGCTTTTCTCCAGGCAACCAAGCTTTGCCTTGTTAAGGGAGTGCAAAAGCAAAAAGAAAGAAAAAGAACAGGCCATGCAACAGAAAGAGTAGGTGAGGAAGGTGAAGCTATGGAGAAACAAAAGGGCATCCAACAAATAGTATTATTACAGAATAAAGGACGCAGGGAGTTCCTTACCTTAGAGAACCCCAACCTTGCCAAAGAAGCTCCAAAGGGATGGGAGCTGTGTGGCCGCCCATGTGCTCATAACCCCACCTAGGAGAGCCAGCAGGGCGAAAGGGCTCTTGTACCATCATATCAGGAAAAGGATAAAGAAACTAGTTTTAAACTTCCTCTGTACTCAGCAGTATTTTTTTGAAAGATAGACTAAGTGAATGGGTGTATGAAATACCCATGTTTATTCTTCTGGGTGTACTTGAGAATAATTTAATCTGTAATGGTTTCTCCCTTTCAGTTCTAAAGGTCACTTTGAGATTTTATTTAAAATCACAGTTGTGGAAGTTTCTGGGGGCTTTTGATGGCAGAGTTAGGACTTCTCTGTGGCAAGGCTAGCTGTCCACCAAGGAGCTACATGGGAGTGTTCCACTTCAGTGGATTTACCATGATCCAAGTGTGGCTGCCTGAGCGCCTGTGTGAGTCTTGCCAATGCCTCCGAGCTAACTGGACTCAGGGGCATTGATTTGTACTCTGGTTTCATTTTAAATTAACAATCTCAAAATTTCCAATAAGCTCTCAACACTGGCAGAGAGTTCTACCATATTTCTTCACTAAGCTTGCCGTCCCACTTTCTGACATGACTCACGTTACCATCCCTGTTCAAAACCTCTTACCTCATACCTGCCTGTCCTTGGCCAATAACTGTGCCTCAGTCCTTCACTTGAAAAAAATTTGAAACATTCCCTTAACACCATGAAGACCTCTCTCTTTCTTAAACCCACACCCAGACACCACCCCCCTTCTTGCTCCTCTTACTAAACTGAGAAATGGCCTTTCCTCCTAGCAAAGGAAATGGGCACATTCTCTAGATCTGTGCCCGTCTTACCTCCTCAAGGGCTTTAGTCCCCCTGAAGCCATCTCCTAAGATGTGGGTCATGTCCTGCCTCCCCCACCTAAGCTTGGGCTACTCTTTCCTTGCCCACTCTTCTGCTATCCTCACTCTTGAACATACCTCTTTCTCCTTTATGATTCAGGGCCTTTGTGCCACACTTTGTCTTTTCCTTGTTTCTCTCAGGGATGATTCCTCATCTTCCAGGTCTTCACTCAAATGTCACCTCCTCAGAGAAGCCCTCCATCACTAACTTATTAGAGAGGTTTCCTCAGTTGTGTGCCTCTCATTGGGTTTTAGCCTTCATAAAAGTCATGTATTTTTGCCTGTTTGGGGTGTGCTTTTTGACTCTTTCTTCCCCAGTAGGCTAGGAGCTCAAGGGGATAAGCCCCCTGTAGTTTATGCATGAGTTCATGTCTGGTGCAGAAAGAAATGCTGGGGCTTTTCAGACCTTTGCACCTTACCTTGTGCACTCCTTGCTGCCTCCACCCAAGGCTAGTAATGACATTGGCAGCCTTCCCCTGATGCTTTCCGCTGGGGCAGTGGAGACAGAGTTTCCCCACCCCAGGCACTAGGCCCTTGTGGATAATCCATAGTTACCTCTGACACTTCTAGGTGCCAAAGCCAAAGCCAAACTCTTTCTGGAGCCCTCAACATCCAGAAGATACATGGAGTAGAGGATTGCCTCTCTCCTCTTCTGTGCTTCGTTCTGTTACCTGGGTGTCAAAGCAACGTATCTTCTACTCTTGTCTTTAATGTATTATAATGTAATTTTTCAAATTTGATTTCTTGATCTCTGGAAAATACAGAGCCCAGATGTTACTACATATTTTTTTTTTTATTTTGTTGCTCCATTTGTGTAGAGTATGGAAAAAGCAAATAATATCAGCATATTCCAGATCTTCTGTATGGCCACCTTATGGTCCAGTACTGACACAGAATTTTAATGAACACAACCTATTTGTATTTCTAAACAAATGCATTGAAAGTGTAATTACATTATGAAATAATGCACAAAGCTTTCAACAATTGTGTGAAAAGAAAAAAATGATGGGAAAATTGGGTCTTTACATGGTATATGGCAGTCCAAATATGCTCCAGAACAATGTGTAAAGAGTTTGCTCTGCCCACTGATGTTTTATGTTGATCCCATCTTTGAATGTATCAAAGAGCCACCATTGATTTTGTCTATACATTTTTTTTCAAAGATTTTATTTATTTATTTGACAGACAGAGATCACAAGTAGGCAGAGAAGCAGACAGATAGAGAGAGGTGGAAGCAGGCTCCCTGCAGAGCACAGAGCCCGATGTGGGCTCGATCCCAGGACACTAGGACCATGACCTGAGCCGAAGGCAGAGGCTTTAACTCACTGAGCCACCCAGGTGCCCCTGTCTATACATTTTTAACTAGCGTTGTAATAAAAATAATTTGTTGGTGCTAGGTTCCCCAAAGAATCTATTAACCTTTAAAACTTATTAATATAATACTTAAACTTTGAAAAACTTTATCAAGAAGATTTTGGAGAAAACTATTCTTTCTGGGTTTTTTAACTTTTACATTAGTTTCAGAAGTAGAATTTAGTGATTCATCAGTTGCATGTAACACCCAGTGCTCATTACATGAAGTGCCCTCCTTAGTGCCCATCACCCAATTACCCCTTCCTCCCAGCCACTTCCCTTCTAGCAACCCTCAATTTGTTTCCTAGAGTTCAGCATCTCTTATGGTTGCCTGTCTCTCAATTTTCATCTTATTTTATTTTTCCTTCCCTCCCCCATGTTTATCTGATTTGTTTTTTTAAATTCCATATATGAGTAAAATCATATGGTATTTGTTTTTCTTTGAATGACTTATTTTGTTTAGCATAGTACAGTCTAGTTCCATCCATGTCATTGCAAATGGCAAGATTTCATTCTTTTGATGGCTAAGTAATATTCATATATATATATATATACACACACACACATATATATATCTGTATATATAAAGAGAGGTACATAGTATAGAGAGAGGGATACACACACACACACACACACACACACACACACATATTATTAACTAAATGTGTATGTGTGTATCCTCTTCTTTATCCATTCATCTATTGATGAACATCTGGGGTTTTTCCATCTTTACATAGTTTGGCTATTGTGGACATTGCTGCTATAAACACTGGGGTGCATGTGCCCCTTTGAATCACTATGTTTGTATCCTTTGGGTAAATACCTCCTAGTGTAATTGCTGGATTGTGGGGTAGCTCTATTTTTAACTTTTTGAAGAACCTCCATACTGTTTTCGAGAGTGGCTGCACCATTTTTTTTTTTAACTTTTGTTTTGTTTTTAATGGAAAAGCCAACCTCTCTCTTACACTCATACGAGACTTCTCAGGGTTAGGCTGCAAGCTAATTCCATCACGAGGTACTCAGAATCCCCCACTCACCTAGCTCCCCCAGATTGAGGTAGTTTATAGGCCTATGCTTGACTCTCCCTTTGGATGAATTTTCTTCTAGAAAGCCACTTGTGTAAAAAGTCTCCTATCACCTACCCCACAGCCCTCATGTGTAGATGTGCCTTATCACAAGTCCGGCCCAACCTGGGATCTCCACTATCCTGGCTTGAAGAATGACTACCCACAAAATAATTGAGTAAACAAGCAATTGAATGAAATAAAGAATTAATTCACCAACAGTAGAAAAGCTTTTGTTTGCGCACCATATGATTTGGAGAAAAAGTATTCTTTCTTTCCAGGTAATAGAAGATAGATTCAAGATAGAAAAGGATAAAGGGAAAGCAAAACCTCCCAAGGAGAAGAAGACCTCAGGTGTAAAGGTTGCCAAAGGAAAGGGAAAAGATCAGCCTGAGGCAAACACAACAGTGAAAAAGACCACGCAGTTAAAACGGAGGGGAGAAGACGATGATACTAAACACTACATCGGTCAGTATCATGCTCCTTCTGTGGGTCACCTTTCACTTCCTGCTTTCCAATCTACAAAGTAACTTGAGAAAACATTCCAATAATGACGCTTAATCTTTCCCAGGCTTATCACTTTCGCTCTTTCTAAAACCAGAAATCACATATCACTTGTGATATCCTAATAGGAAAATATTGCTTTTTGCAGTTCATTTATGTTTTCAGTAAATATTCATTTAGCTTGTGTCTTGCTGTGGGGATGTTTTCATAATGCAAATGAAGTAAAAAATCAAGAGCTGACTGTGCCACCAGGCAGCTTACCACCTTGTTCAGAACATTTTAAAAAGGCATAATTATGAGGCCAACTAGAAAATGATTATTGTAATGAGTGAAATACAGTGGTGATAAAATGAGACCAGTTAATTTGGGACTCACACAGAGCACACAGCTTCCTGACCTGACCTCAACTTCTCCCACTATTAGCTTCTCTTAGAGCAACTGGAATTTCCTTTCATTTTTGATTATTGATATAAAATTGGTTTGACCTGTGCCAACTGTGAGTAATTCATTGCCACCTACCCTTGAACCCAAATGGAGCTTCCTATTATTATTTGCATCCCACTTAAATGAGATGGCAGGCCTTCACACCCCTTGTTGCTTGAACCCCCCTGCCGTGGCTCTGCTCTAAAGCCACAAGACTTAGAAGCCATGATATTATGGTTTCCAATATCAACATTCCCAATATCAACACAGATTTGTTTAGGGATAGAAGAAAAATTGTCACTTAAAAATGAAAAGTTTGTGCATATCGCCTTATTTGTAAATTCATCTTAATGGGCTATCATGGAATTTAACGTTTTCATGTACTATCCAGCATGACTATGAAAGTACAATTATTTTTACCTCTCGGAATCTCAGAGTCTAGGAGGAAGTCCTGTTCTAACATTAGTAAAAACTGTAGCCAGGGCTAAGCAGAGGGGAAAAAAATGTTAGGAAAGTGCACAATATATATCTTAAAAATTTTAATGCAAGAACTATATCACTGCTCTGTAACCCACACTCAGCATTCACACCTATTGACGTAAATACACAGAATACTCTGGTAGGGGGCACGTCCATACTCGATACTTCCCTCTCCTGTAAACACCTCTACTTATAAAATACCACAAAAAGCTACAGCTACTCGTAATTCAGGAGTAAAGCCATATGTGGCTCAAAAGAGACTGAACCAAAAAAAAAAAAATATATAACCTAAGCCTTTTTCTTTTTGCAAAAACTCAACACACATTTTCTATGAGTGCGGGCCCCATGTATGTTTGTCCTTCTATCATGACTCTATCTCATTTACAAAAGTGATTTAATATTTTGTAAAATGGGCACAGCCTTCTTACTGGAAGGGTAATAATGGAAAACAGTCCACAGACCTGCACTGCAGCCAACTGGACTGTTTCTGGTGAGCCAGAGGCATTATAAACGCATGCATAATGTATGTAGCCATCGAACTGGCCGGGTGCAACCTGTTCTCTTTTAAAATGACGGCCGCTTTCCTATGGTATTTTGAACAGATGATGAGCCAGATGATGGTGCCCAGCATTACATTATAGTCGTGGGCTTCAACAATCCTCAGCTATTCGCGATTATGACTGAGCTTGGCATTCCCATAAGCAGCGTGATTAAAATATCTTCAGAGAATTATGAACCTTTGCAGACACACCTGGCAACACTTAGCCAGCAGCAGGAAGTTCTTCTTCAGCCAGAAGGTATGCAGTCTGCTACACAACTCACTGAATCCTTCCTTCAGTATTCTCCACTGTCTGTAAAGTACAAATAGAATTTTCTGTCCAAGAAAGAGTCCTACAATGCCTTCGTTATTACATCCTTTTAAGACTTTGATTTGCTCTTTATTCTGCTTGTGCGAGCCAGGTGCTGTAAATTCTGCAAATTAAAATCATACTCTGTTTATATCCCTGTGTAGCCCCAGAGAACACGGGCTGTGAGTCACAAGACTTGGTTATCTGACTACCTTTCTCAGGAACATTTAACCGATAACTTTTACCTAATGTGTAGTCTGGATAGATCAACTGTAGATAATGTGTTCTTCCAGAAGTCACCACATGGCCCAAGGGAGGTCATAGCCTCGGATTCTTGCTCTGCTCTGCTTCCGGCTTATTGTGATAAATCAGAGAGGGCACTCATCTTCCGAGCTTTAGACTAGGACGTTGTGGGGTGAAGCCCCGTCCACACTACCATTCAGCCATTCAGGGCTTCATCTAAGGGAGTTATGCTAGAATGCCACTGTGGGAGGGGAACTAAAAGTTACTCTATACTTTAGGTGACAGAACAAGGATTCGGTGTAAGCCTGTGTGACCTGCAAGTCCAAGATTTTCTGCTGTACGCTGTTCCTTTCATTATTACTTATTAATGTCATTTGTACAGTGTTTTGTAATCTACACAACCACATGCCAATGTCTAAAACACTGCATTTTAAGAATTTGCTGTTCCAGGGGGCACCTGGGTGGCTCAGTCGGTTAAGTACCAGCCTTTGGCTCAGGTCATGATCCCAGGATCCTGGGATCAAGCCCATTTGGGTTCTTGGCTCAGCCAGGAGTCTGCTTCTCCTTCTGCTCCTTCTCCTCATGCTCTCTCTCTCTCTCTCTCTCAAATAAAATCTTTTTTAAAAAATTTGCTCTTCCAAGTTAGAAATTACTACCACTGATGACAGTAAAAACTACCATTTACTGGACAGATGCCTGGGGCTGGGCTTAGTGCTAAGGGCTCTAAGTGCATCAATTTATGTAGTCTCCACTACCACCCCCGGAAGTGTGTTTTATTACAGACGGTCCCCAACTCACGATGGTTGGACTTCGCTTTCCCACTTTGGTGTGAAACAAATACGTGTTCAGTAAAAACGATACTTCGAAGTTTGAATTTTGCTTTTTCCCTCAGACTAACAACATGCTCACTTGCAGTTCTGGCTGGTGGCAGCTCCCGGTCATCCACGTGATCCCAAGGGAAAATTACCAATACACCGGCAACATTCTGTACCCCTACAGCCATTGTGTTGCTCACTTTTAGTACAGTGTTTGATAAACTACAGGAGATAGGCAACCCTTTATTATAAAACAGGCTTTGTGTTAGATGATTCTGCCCAACTGCAGGCTAAGGTAAGTATTCTGAACATGCTTAAGGTAGGCTAGGTTAGGTGTATTATGTCACTTTCAAATGTTCCATTTACAATGCATTTATTGGGATAACTCTATCCCCACTCTTAAGTCAAGGAAGATCTGTTTCTTTGATTTTACCAAAAGGAGTCTCAGCCTAGATGCAGTTATTAAGTGAAACAGTTGAGATCCAGACCCAGCTGCTCCTGACTATCTCAAAGGATAGCTGTAACATTAAATAACTTACTATTGAAGCTAGTGAGAAAATGTTCCGTAAGTGCATAGCCTCTCTGTAAAAAATAACCTTGCCATTTGAGACGACGTGGATGGAACTAGAGGGTATTACGCTAAGCGAAATAAGTCAATCAGAGAAAGATAATTATCATATGATCTCCCTGATATGAGGAAGTTGAGAGACACTGTGGGGGGTTTGGGGGTAGGAAAAGGATAAATGAACAGATGGGATCCGGAGGGAGACAAACCATAAGAGACTCTCAATCTCGCAAAACAGAGGGTTGCTGGGGGGAGGGAGGAGGGAGAGGGTGGTGGGGTTATGGACATTGGGGAAGGTGTGTGCTATGGTGAGTGCTGTGGAGTGTGTAAACTTGGCGACTCACAGACCTGTACCCCTGGAGCTAATAATACATTATATGTTAATAAAAAAATTTTAAAAACAAAAAACTCCAAACTCAGAGGAAAAAAGCTCAGACGTGTTTATCAGAGGCAGAGGGTGGGGGAAGAGAAAATTGGAGGGAGGTGGTCAAAAAGTACAAAATTCTAGTTATAATATAAATAATTACTAGGGATGTAATGTACAACATGATGACTATGGTTAACACTGCTGTATGATATATAAGAAAGTTGTTAAGAAGGTAATTCCTAAGAGTTTTTATCACAAAGAGAAATTTCTTTTTCTTTTTCTTTCTTTTCATTCTATCTGTATGAAATGTGGGTTTTTGCTGAACCTATTATGATAATTGTTTCACAATATATGTGAATCAAACCATCATGCTATATGCCTTAAACTTATACAGTACTGTTTGTTGGTTATTTCTCAATAAAACAGGGAAAGAACATCAAAAAAATTATTTAACATATAGAAATAAAATCACAGAAAAATAGACTTTGTAATAGAATCCTGAGGTGTTAGTAGTAGAACCAACCCATTGAGTTATAGATATAATAAACACTAATATCTTAGGCAAAATTTCATGTGTAAATTTATGTCATGATTTTATTCAGAGCACAAATGTCCAGAGAAGTCTGTAGCTATTCAAATGTGACCCAAGGTCGACTAAAGCATCAGTCATTGATCCGGTCTATTTTTTGCCATGGGGGAAGGAGAACTGGATCAACAGCATTTCTAACCAGTTATGAAACAAACACACTGAGATGGTCAAAAAGCTGTCTGGCAGAAGAACTGCTCCCACATAGATGCCATCTAAGGATGATGGAAATAATCAAACATGTTTAGCTCTGCAAGTGTGTGACCTTATCATAATGTTTCTGGTCTTCAAGTGTAAAAGGAAGGCATGAAATAAGCTCATGTTTGATAATCAGTTTTGGAAGAAAAATCCTCCAGTTTCATAATTGTATAACCCAAGTTCAAACCTTCTCAAAATTATGTTTCTTTATTTGCCTTTTCTGGTACTGCACAGATATCTTACAATGCATATACCTCACCATGTACACTTACAGTGGGAAGAATTCAACATTCTCATTATGTTTTATTAACATGTTATAATTAGACATAGAGGCTGAGAAACTGAAGAAAGAGAAGGCCATAAGAGAACTTGAAATTTTCTGGAAGTACCTGGAACCAATCCTGAATAATGAGAAACCTGAAACAAATCTCTTTGATGTTGCTCGTCTTGAATACATGGTCAAGGCAGATAATTTTCCTTCTGACTGGGCAGACAACGAGATGATGGTTAGTACATGGTCTTGTGAGAGTGGTTGGGACATGTGGTAGTGTGGTTCATTTATCATTTATCATCTTCATTCTTTCCACAGACATTCATTAAGCACTGACTATATACATACGTTTGTGCTAGACTCCTTTTCTTCAAGACAGTGATAACACTGAATGCCCAGTGATGGTTATAGCCTGGTTCTTTAGCTTTTAGTGTAAGAACTAATGGCAAAAAATAAGATGGAGATGGAAATGAAGGATGGTGATTCTTTTATTTGGTGCATTTCTCTTTTTAATATATCAGTTCAAAATATTGTTTTTCTGGGTCCTTAATTTTATTGCTAAAATTGCATTGTTAATGTATTTGGTCGACAAGGTCTATCTAATAGGATGACTTGGTCCCACCCCAACAATTAACAGGCATTTTCTGAGAACATTTACTGGTCTCTGCTACCGTGGATCTTATAGAGGGGCATGACTAAAACCATGAAACAGAGAAGTGATGTGGAAGATGCCATACACCTATGTGCTCAGTTATGTGAAACACACTCTAAATTTCCTACTAATTCAGAAAAAGAAGAAATGAGATGCATCACAAAGTAATAGCAAATGTTTGATACATGAGGGTGTTTTTAAAAAGAAGATTGAGTGACAACTCCTCATGGATGTTATGGTAGATATCTAGGCATTCCCTGTTACACAGAACTTCTCAGGTCTCTTTCTGGTTGACGCCCCCCGTTCCAACAACCAGAGGCCCCAGAGTGAGAGCGTGAACATTTCTCATGACCAGAGCCCCTGACTGGATGACCTTGAGGTGGATGTGTACATGGTGAAATAAGGAAAACTCTGAGGAGAGGGAGACCCAGATTTGAACTTTGAAAGATGGGCAGGATTTGAATAAGTAACAATATACAGATCACTTCAAGTTATTAAGACTGTCAACATAAAGCATTAGATGTCACTACATAGAAACAGAACACTGAAGCCTGACGCCTTGCCAATAGTAAGAATAAATACTGGCCTTGACCTATACGTGGAGAAGAAACCAAACATGAAGCCGTGGCCCAAGGCAGAGCTTGTTCTAAGCAAAACTGGTTACTCCAAACTCCCTTGGCTTGGCCTCTTTCCACATTTTCATCTGGATATCTTCATCTTTCCTGCTTTGTCTTTCACTCTTCTGCCTCCTAAACCTGAGTTCAGAAAAGAAGGCACTACTTTCTGTCCTTTACTGTTTCGCACCATACAGTCTCAAGAACTTGCATACTTTTTTGGTTCAATAGAGCATAAGAGATCGCAGCCATATAATTCCTGAGCCATAATTTAGAGGAAGCAATGAAAAGAGTCTTCGAAGGCACTGTCAGGCCACGTATCTTTTTCTCTTGCACTAGCTAGGGCTCTCTTCTTTGTATTTTATTTACCGCTCTCCCCACAAGGAATGGACTGACAAGAGCTGAAATGTGGTGGGCCCAAGGTAGAGTACATTCCATTGCACCTTCAGTACATAGATGTCATAACACCACAAAAGACCCAGCACCATTCCCAGCAACCTGCTTCCTCCTCTAGTATCCACAATTTTGTATTCATTGAAAGATTTTAATCACTCCTTTTTTAAAGAAAGTGAATTGACTATTTTACTTTTTTAAATATAGAGTAGAAGAATTTAAATGGCAATTAAAGTTCAGAAAATTTTATGTTGAAAAAATTTTATCATCTCAGTTGAAATACTAGGTATGGTAGAACATTCCTGACCTCCAAACTAAAAAGTTACCATCAAGAGCATCTAGTTGGGCCATGAAAGTAACAGGCAGGAATGAAAACATTCAGTCATCTGGGGAGCCATTTATAGCTGTGCTGCCCAGCTGGACACACTGATCTTCTATCAGTCAATTTGCAAGTATTTATCAAATATCTTCTTCATGCTAGAGCTGTGGTCTGGGTCCAATTGCAGTAATTTATTTATTTATTTTTTTTTTTAGAGCCCAAGCATGCCTCTATAAGGTATGCGTTGTGGGTGAACAACCCAGAATTGAGAACGATAGGGAAAGAGAGCCTTGCAAACAGTTCAGTCATGGAGTTGGGTTTGAAAAGAAAGGCCATTGGATTTCATATTGAGGAACAAAGTTCACCTTGAAGTTCAGATCCCCTGAGAAACATAAAAGTAATAAATCTACTTTTCATAGAAATAGACTAAATAGGTGGTGTGGATACATGATGTCACACACTCAGCTGTATTTGGAAGTTGGTAATGGCCTCATATCCAAAGCAGAAGCCAGCCAAGGAGTCCTCTTACTCTCTGGAAGAAGGAAAGCATTAGTACCTTTGTCTGCAGACAAGCAGGCTATATTTCTGCTGAACCAAGGTAACGAAAGCTTTACATCAAATAAATGCCCATCAAGAAGTGCTAACTGCTCATGTAAGACATCTGCAACATCTCAAGTTAAGACCTTGGTTGCTGAAATAATTTTCTGGCTTTTAGCATGTGATTTGCTCTTTGATTTAAAAATGAATAAACTAGTTAAGTAAGGGATCAAAAGGGGCAGAAGTCCTACCATATTTCTTATAAATACAAACAAAAACTTGTTTCTGTGCCAGAAATTAGGCAGACAACTAACAGGTTGAAGATTAACTGAAGAATACTCAGTCCTAGGGTAGGCACATGAAGCCCAGACTGGCAGCTATGCCTTGAAGATGGGCAGAGCTCAGCACCTCCCTGGACTCCTGCCAGACTATGATTCACTGGCCCCCCAAGAAGCTATCTAATCCTACCTTACCTCAGTAGCACAGATCTAAGATAAGCCTACTTAGCCCTTCCTTGCTTTCAGGCAGAGAAACCTAGTGATAGCCGTACTTTTCCAGTTCTGGAAATGAAAGCCCAGGTAATAGGGGTATCTGATCTACAACTTGCTTGCTAGACAGTAAAACTTGTGGATATTAGATACAAAAGCAGTAGACTTATTTCTTTGTTTTTTTTTTTCCCTCTGATAGCACAGAAGAGGTATTGAAGTTACCTAATATGTTGTTTTAGAAATTGAGACATCAGAATATAGGCCATGTTGCTGAAATTAGTGGACAGGGTGTTTTTCACTTAGTTGAAGCATTCATTAGACTCTAAGAGTATCATGCAGCCCTATGACCCTCCAAAGGGAGCAGTCTGCATTGGGGTGAACAAGATGGTCAAGAAGGGTTCGATAAATGAAGATTCACTCTCCATGGCTGAGATTCTGTGATTTGGGGAAGTGCATGGTTGGTTCAGCTGTTAAGAGAGAAATGAACCATACATCTGATTCCAGCAACAAAACACTAGTAACTAACTGTTATTAATTCTCTCCCCTATAGCTGGAATTGGGTACTGATATTTTTGAAAATATTGCCTGTTTGATGTATGACACCCTGGACTGGAAAAGGCAGCACCAACACTATTTGGAAAGCATGCAGCTTATCAATGTCCCACAAGTGGTTAATGAGAAACCTATCTTGGAAGCCACGTCAATTACTGAGGTAGGCACATTCTGCAATGTCTTCAGTAGGCTGCATGATCAACTGAACAAAGTGATTTTCACGTTTGTAAAACACACGAAGGAAAAAACTACATAAATACTTGTAAGAAGGAAATACTTCCTGCTGGAATTTAAGTGGTGAGGGTGGGAACAGGGAGAGGCCACCAGGCACAGCATTAAAGGACACCCAAGTGGTCTTTTAGGGGGCTTTATGAAGCCCCCTAACTACTTGCCATATGGAGAGCTGATGCTGGAAGCCACTTTCAGCCACGGCACAATAAATAACTCCTGGAACAAGGGGCGGGCTATTGCTAAATTAACCATGGTGTTTATTTAGCACCTACCATGTGCTAGCCTTGCACAAGGTGCTGCCAATGATGAACAAGTCTCCCCCTCCCCGTGCCCCTCATTGAGGTTAACTTTTAAAGAGGATGGCAGTCATGTCAACAGTGGTTTCAACATAGCATGGTGAGAAGAGTCAGCTCGGGCTACAGTAGAAACACTAAAACATGGCATCTAACCTGACCTGGAGAGGAGCAGCGGGAGAGAGGGAGGAGTCGGGAGATCCTCACCCAGCAGGGTAAATCATGTGGCGAAGGCTGGGTGTGAACTGCCTACAGGAATGCCTAGTGGACAAAGGGACAGAAGGGCATCCTCAAGAAACAGGCAAAGGTGACATACACAGACATGGGGTCAAAGGAGAGAAGTGTTAGGGCACAAGCCAGGACTATAGGATAAGTCTGTGCTTCAGGTGGTAGTACAAAATGAAGAAAAACAACATGAACTCCCACTGGAGAACAGAAGCAGATGTGCTTTGGTCCTGCGTTAAAGAGTTTGGGTTGTACCTGGAAAGTGATGGGGAACCACTGAAGGACCCGAAGAGGGGGAATGGTGTGATTCTGAGTCACCCAGGGACCAGTGCCTGATTTCCCCATCCCTTTCCTGGCAGTTGCTCAATGGGCTCTGTTAGGGAAAACTAAAAACTGTCTATACCCATTAATTTCTTCCCTTTGTCAGACAAAACCCTTTTGTTTGTTCCTAATATTAGCCAATGATTTTGTGGTGTGAACATCATACCATCTCAGAATCCTGTCAGACCTCATCATACCAGCATCTGACGAAAGCATCTCTCAGCTGAATATCTCAGTCGTCTCTTTTGAATTCTTCTACTTTTAGGCACCACAACCTGTTGCTCCAACCCCAGGCAAGAAGAAAGCACAGAATGAGGAACCACAAGCGCCCCCATCAGGCAAGTATGAAACCCGAAGACCAACACCGTGAGCTGGTGCGTCAAAGACTACTGACTGTCCTCCAACTTGCCTTCAGACATCCCTCTACCTACACATCCCACTTTTTTAGTGCACGGTGACAGTTTGAATTTATGGATAAAATTTTGGTGGAAGAAATGGAGAACACATCTTAATTGAGCAGTGATATATTGTATATTTTACAGTGGCTTTTGTCTTAACAACTGAAGTAGACATGAGATATTACAATGACTTGCTGAATCCGATTCCAGAAGAATTCATCTCTGTGCCCCTGATACTGCATTGTATGCTGGAACAGGTAGGTGGGTACATGCCGTGGTGTCTTTCCCAGCTGGGTAACCTTGAATCCATCATTTCATCTCTCTTTGCTTTGGTGTTAACTATTTTAAACTACACACAAAATCCCCGAGTGTATTTTCCTTTACAAAGATTATAGAATACTTTAAGTAAAACCAAAGTTTACTTTGATCATCTACTTTAATCCCCTTTCTTTTGCTATGCTCTTTCTTTTGCTATTGCTCTCATATTCCCTGAAGTTTCGGGAGATGTATCCTTTAAACTATCTGTGTCTAGTGTCATTTTAATGGACAAGAAAGAGGAGGTAGACAAGGGGATGGGTGGTTAATAGTCTTTTTCTTTAAAATTTCCTTGTCTACAGCCATACCACTCTGAACGCGCCCGATCTCATCTGATAAAATTTCCTTTATGGTTGTAGGTTTAATCAGATTTTTCTCTTTCTGAGGTCAATTTTAGTCATTAGTATTTTTTAATAAATATGCCCATTTTATTTGTTTTCAATATCATATAAAGTTCTTTATTCACTTACATGCCTTTTAAAATTTGTTTGGCATCTAATAATGCTCCTTCTCTATGACTAATGTTACTTATTTGTCCCCTCTCTCTTCTTGATCATGGCTGTCAATGGTATATCTACTGTATCAGTCTTTTCAAAGAACTAGCATTATATTTCATTGATCAACACTTTCTACTTTATGTTTAACTAATTTCCTCATTTATCTTTATTATTTCCTTCTTTCTGATTTCTTTGAGTTCATTTTGCATTTTATTTGAATCAAAAGCTTACCTCATTTACTTTCAGGCTTTTTGCTTAAGGCTATACATTCCCTTTTGAGTATTTCTTTGGCTGCATCCTGATGCTTTCAGTCTATTCAGTTCTAAATATTTTATTTTCATTTCTATTGTTTATTGTCAGTTCCTAGTTTTATTGCATTATGGTCAGTAAACATGGTCTTCATAAATTTCCTGAGCTTTCCATGGGACCTGAGGTATGTGGTCAATTCTCATGAGTTTTCTGTATGTGTTTGAGAAGAGTTGTTATAAACTAATTCATTTAATCCTTAGGACAATGCTGTGATGCAGAAACTATTTTTGTTCCCTCTTTTACAAATAAGGGAAAACGAGGCATAAAAAGGTTAAGAAACTTGTCTGAGTAGTGACTGTCAGAAACTGCCTTAGAACCTAGTCAGTCTTAAGTGGAAAAGTATTTTGAAGGCATTGCTTTGTTGTCTTCTTTCTTCTAATATTGCTGAGAAATCTCATGTCAATCTGACACTTTTTTCTTTGCAGATAATCTGTTTTTTTTCTTTCTGGAAGCTATTAGAATTTTCTCCTTATAATTCATAACACAAGGCTATGTCCAGGTAGGGCTTTGTTTTATCATTGTCACTAACAATCTAAAGGATTATAATCTGGTTTCTGATTACATTCTGAATAAAATCAAAATTCCTTACATTGGAAGACCCTAAAAATATGGGTCTGGGCTGATCTGTCAATCTGTCATCTCATCTCCTGCCTCCCTCAACACACACACACATACACACACACTTACTACTCTTCATCTACATAGGCTTTCTGGGTTTTCCTCAACTACACTACTTAATTCCACTGTAGCTTTTTACTCCAACTTCTTTTCCTAGAAAAATTTTCACCCCCATGTCTGCCTGGAGGATACTCCTTCATTCAGTGCCCAATGGAAATGGTATTCCTTAGCCTTTCTCCCACCTGATCCAAAGGAAACCCTTGACAACACAGAGTGTTCTTTACCATATCACTTGGTTTTATTTTCTTATCAACAACCACTCCTCTTAAAATAATTAATTTGCTTTGTGTCTTACCTTCCCCTTCTCACTAGAATAGAAGCTCCACACAAGTAGGGACTTAATCCTAATCTTTTCACTGCAGTATGCCCAGCAAACCATAACCACATGTAACCCACCGCAGACACTGAATCTGTATTTGCTGCTTTAAACATAGCCTCAAACATTATTTTTTCTATTGATTTATCCTTTTATTAGATGGATGGTGGAACTTCTGATTTTTCCTCCTTGTCTTTTACATTTTCTATCAATTTTATCTTTTGGGGAATTCCAGCTTAACTCCCAATTAATTCATTCTTCTCCGGAGTCCAGTCTGCTAGTGAAGTTTTTTCTCAAAAATAGATTGTATTTAATTTATAAATTCTCCAATTTCTTTTTACAACTGCCTGTCATTGTCTTTATTGCATGAATATAACATATTCCTTTATGTCTCTGAATTTTCAAATGTTTATTTTAAAGTCCTGTTCAGACTCTATCATCACTTTTACCTTCACTATACATTTTTATGTCTGCTTTAGTTTTCTAACTGATTAGATAAGCACACTCACAGTTACCTTTCATTATCGCATAAGGTTTCTAGGAGGCCAGTAGTTTTATTATATCAATAAATTCATAAAAGCTGAAAAGCCCTGTAGAGCTTGCGGTATCATTTTATCTTGGTCTTTATTATTTTATTCAACTCAATTCAAAGCAACAAATGCTTATTAACCACCTGCTGTATTACAAGCATCAGCTAGTAACCTTATTGCCTGACCCATAGAAGGCAACTGATAGTAGATCATGTTGATTGAAAAAGTGCTTAATAATGGGAAGGAAAAAATTAAAATATAAGAGGAATGAGGTAGGTTTTTTCGAGACAGGCTATTAGAGTTTAACATTTCAGAGGTAGAACAGTTTTAAGTGGTCTTTTGTGATTGGAGTAGGTCCAAGAGATGGTCAGAGATAGTGGAGCTATGAGTGGCTCTTTTGAAAGTAAGGAGTTGACAAAGGGTAAAGGATGGGAGACTATTTTGTTAGCCATCTATAGCAGTGGTTTTCAATAGCAGCTTATTTTTCCTCCCAGGGGACATCTGGAAATGTCTGGAAATATTTTTGCTTGACACAATTGGAGGGGAGATACTGGCATGAAATGGTTTGAGGCCAGGGATACTGCTAAAGATTCTCCATTGCACAGAAGAGAACCCACAACATATAACTGTCTAATTCAAAATGTCTTAAGTTCTAAGGTTGAGAAACCCTGTAAAAGGATATGAAATTGCAGAGAATGATTGCAGGACTTAAAGTGAAGAGAAAAGCTATAAATTAGGTGTCTACCTTGATTACATTTCAATTTTTTTTGTTTTCCAGGTAAAATTGAACAAGCCACATAATCTTTCTAGACCTCTGTTTCCCCATATAAAGGAGACTATTTCCCCATACTGATCTTACCATCTATCACTCCCTTGAAGAAAGAATGAGGACTTGACCTGAACCCCACTCAGTAGCCTTGGACTTGCATCAGTCACTAACTTCAGTCACCCTAACTCTTCCCCTATAAAATTAAGATAATATCTACTCCATAATGTTGCTGTATTGTTTAAATGAGGTAATATATTAAAAGATGCCTCATACAGTGCTTGGCATATGATAGGCACTTAATAAACACTTACTGAATCCAAAGGTATAAGTGGTTTCCAGTGCTTTAAGAGAAAGAGCAAATCAGTAGGAAAAAATTTATCATATTGGTATTTTGATTTCTGTTATAATGAATTTCCCTGTTTGCCATTTGTGTTTTGTGTTATCTATTCTAATGTACACATTAAAATTATATCTACTTTAATGGATGCATTGTAAACTTTTCCTTTTTTATTTTGATAATCACTGCCATTTTATGTAATCATTGGATGTTATTGGTAGAAACTGCCTTGTTTTTAGTAAGAGCAATGGAAATCCGTGAGTATCAGTAAAGAGCTGACCACTAAATTGACTCTCACCTGCTTATTTGAACAGGTTGTGGCAACTGAAGAAGACCTTGCCCCGCCCAGTTTGGTGCAGCCGCCTCCTAGAGCAGATGGGCTGGACCACAGAATTGCAGCTCACATTGTGTCCATCCTGCCCTCTCTCTGTCTCACAGAGAGGGAGAAAAAGGTCAGATGGCATGAGATATCCAAAGAACTTGCATGCTTTGAAAAAGTATGAGATTTTCTTTTTAAGTCACTATATTTCAATTTGAATAGAATCTCCATGAAATATTCTTATCTGAAGAAGAAAATGAAAGCAAAGCAGTGCCCAAAGGTCCTCTCCTATTGGACTATCATGATGCATATGCCCACAAGAAATATGCTCTAAAGGTAATAATAATTGGGCTACCCCAAGGAGAAGTGATCCAAGAAAGCCCATTTGTAATTATCCATTGAAGAAATTGCGGTTAGATAGTTTTACCCATGGCATTAAAAATAATATTCAAGATGGATTCCTGCTTGCAAAGTGAGACCTCAGGAAATAAAGGTGCATGCGGGAGCAAAGAAAACTTGTCTAATTATAGAGGTCCAGTTAGCTGCTTAATTGATTGTCAGTGCACCAAATTTGCATTAAAATCTTATAGTTATTTGCTTTATATATCCACCAATGTGAAAAACTAGTGGAGGCCAAAGAGGGATCTCAGAAGGGAGAGATGAATATATATGAGACTTTGGCAGTTTGTCATAGCAATGAAGAATCCATCATTTCTGTGCACAGGGGACACCCCTGGCAAAGTGAGAACGAGCTTTTTTGACCTTCAGCAAAATACCAACAGTTTGTCTTCCCCAATTACCATTGATTTCCCCTGTTTCCAAATAATGAGAGTGAAGGTATCAGGTTTTGCCTTCTCCATACGCATTAGGCACTTGACAGCTTACTCTAATGCCTTCTGTCATGTTGCTCTTTTTCATCAGGACCAAAAGAATTTTGACCCAGTTCAAATTGAGCAGGAGATGCAGTCCAAGTTGCCACTGTGGGAATTCCTTAAATTCCCTCTGCCCCCGCCATGGAACAGCACTAAACGTCTAGCTACAATTCATGAGCTCATGCACTTCTGTACGAATGGTGAGTACATTTTTTGCCTTAGCTTAAACTCATTCATTTATGGTTACATGTGCTTCTTAAGATGACACTCCTATTTGTAAAAAGTATTTTGATTATTGAAAGAGCTTTCAGAAGCTGAGGTGGGTATTTTGATTCTCTCATCTTGAGTAATATCATTAGCAATATTATGACAACTATGATGCATAACAGTCTTCAGTTTAATGCACTGAGTTTTCTTTTCCATGTTTCCATGATGAGCATATTCTGCTTCTTCCTTTCTTCTCCCTAATCCCCACCCCCACATCCCTTCCTTGACATCATTGCAGAAACCATGGTGATCCCTATCCCAGGTAAGAGCACAGAGTAAAGAGCCCCTGGCCACGTGGTGCCAAGGGTGTGTTGATTCAAGTTCACCTCTTCTCACAGAAGGGGTCATTTTCTGCTCTTTTTTTTTTAAGCAATTTTTTTTATTATGTTATGTTAGTCACCAAATAGTATGTCATTAGTTTTTGTTTGTCCTGGAAGTTTTTAATTTCTCCTATTTTCAATGACAGCCTAGCTGGATGTAGTATTCTTGGCTGTATACTTTTCTTGTTTAGTGCTCTGAATATATCATGCCAGTCCTTTCTATCCTGCCAGGTCTCTGTGGATAGGTCTTCTGCCAATCTAATATTTCTACCACTGTAGGCTCCAGACCTCTTATCCCAAGCTGCTTTCAGGATTTTCTCTTTGTCTCTGAGACTTGTAAGTTTTACTATTAGATGATGGGGTGTGGACCTATTTTATTGATTTTGAAGGGGGTTCTCTGTGCCTCCCGGACTTTGATGCTTGTTCCCTTCACCAAATTAGGGAAATTCTCTGCTATAATTTGGTCCAATATACCTTCTTCCCCTCTCTCTCTTTCTTCTTCTTCTGAGATCCCAATTATTCTAATATTGTTTCATCTTATGGTATCACTTATCTCTCAGATTCTCCCCTCATGTCCAGTAGTTGTCTGTCTCTCTTTTTCTCAGCTTCTTTATTCTCCATCATTTGGTCTTCTGTATCACTAATTCTCTCCTCTGCCTCATTTATCCTAGCAGTAACAGCCTCCATTTTTTATTGCACCTCATTAATAGCTTTTTTAATTTCAACTTGGTTAGATTTTAGTTCTTTTAGTTCTCCAGAAAGGGATTCTCTAGTATCTTCTATGCTTTTTTCAAGCCCAGCTAGGATCTTGATAATCGTCATTCTGAACTCTAGTTCTAACATCTTACTAATGTCTGTATTGATCAGGTCCCTAGCTGTCGGTATTGCCTCTTGTTCTTTTTTTTTTTTTTTTGAGGTGAGTTTTTCTGCCTTGTCGTTTGTCCAGAGAAGAATAGATGAATGAGATAACAAAATGCTAAATGCTAAAAGGGTTAACAACAACCCTGGGAAAATAAACACTAACCAAATCAGAGGAGACCCAAAATGGGAGAGAGAAGAAAGGGGGGGAAAAATATATATATACATATATATATATACACACACACACACACACGTACACACATATATAAAAATATATATAAAATAAGGGTAAACATGATCAAGGGATGGAATGTGACTGTAAAGATGAAAATTTAAAAATATTCTAAAAAAGGAATTGATAACATAAGCAGTTGGTTGAAAAAAGAAAAAAGAGACAATGTGATCAGGCTGGAGACTAGAACAAAGCCATATGCTAGATTTAGGGTATATTTTGGTCTGTTAGTAGAAACTGTATCCCCAAAATTTTTTTTTTTAAAGATTTTATTTATTTATTTGACAGACAAAGATCACAAGTAGGCAGAGAGGCAGGCAGAGAGAGAGAGGAGGAAGCAGGCTCCCTGCAGAGCAGAGAGCCCGATGTGGGGCTCGATCCCAGGACCCTGGGATCATGACCTGAGCCGAAGGCAGAGGCTTAACCCACTGAGCCACCCAGGCGCCCCTGTATCCCAAAATTTTAAAGAAAGAAAAACTTACATGTATACAAAAAATAAGTTTAAATACAATGAAGGGATAGAATATGACTATAACAATGAATATTTTAAAAGATTTTTAAAAAGGTATTGATAAGATAAAATAGTTAAATGACATTAAAATAGGAAAGGGGAAAAATAAAAAAAGAATAGAGTAAGAAAAAAATGAAATTTAAAAAAATTAACTTTGAAAAACTAAAGAATCATGGGGGAAAAGCCACGAATCCTATATGCTGTGTTCCTGTAGCTCTGGAATTCCGCTGTTCTCATTAATTGGTGAACTTGGTCTTGGCTGGTGGTTCTTGCTGATCTTCTGGGGAAGGGACCTGTTGCAGTGATTCTCAAATGTCTTTGCCTGAGGCAGAATTGCACCACTCTTGCCAGGGGCCAGGCTAAATAATCTGCTTGGGTTCGTTCTCAGGAGCTTTTGTTCCCTGACGCTTTCCGTAGAGCTTTGGAGAACGGGAATGAAAATGGTGGCCTCCCAATCTCCAACCCAGAGGAGCCGAGAGCTCGGGGCTCCACTCCTCAGTGCACCCTCAGAGAAAAGCATTTAATCTCTCCTGTCTCCCTGGTCTCTGGCCGCGCTCCTAGCTCACCCAGCCTGTGACAGAGCATTTCTATCTCTGGCGCATGGGCCCGTTTGGAGTCTCCAAACCCAGCTGATTCCTGCAGCGTGCTCCCATGCTACTCCTCCCGGGGAGGAAGGTGAGTCTTCCTGAATCTGCCGCTTGTGGGGTCCCTACCAAAAGAGCAGTAGCCCAGCTGTGCCTTGGATCACGGTTTAAGGTAACCGTGAGCTGAGAGCCCCCTCCTCAGCTCTGTCTCTGTAGCTGGCTTCCCTGCTCAGATACCTGGGAGCTCTGACCCACTCAGGCACCCCCAGTGTTTCTGCACACTGTCCCTGCGAGGGCTCCACCTGCCACTTAGCCTCTGGAGCAATGTCCCTCAGTGGAGCAGACTTCTAAAAGTTCTGATTTTGTGCTCTGCTGCTCTACCACTTGCCAGGAGCCAGCCCCCCCCACCACGGCCTCTCTTTCCATATATAGCCTCGGATTCACTTTTCTGCATGTCCTACCTTCCAGAAAGTGGTCACTTGTCTGTTCCTAGAATTGGTGCTCTTTTTCTCTTCAATCTCCAGTTGAGTTTGTAGATGTTCAGAATGGTTTGATTACTATCTAACTGAATTCCTGGGACCAGATGAAATTCAGGTCTCCTACTCCTCCACCACCTTGCTCCTACCCTCGTCATTAGTTTTTGACGTAACGTTCCATGGTTCATTGTTTCCATATAACACCAAATGCCCCATGTAATACATGCCCTCCTTAATACCCATCACCTGGCTCACACACCCCCCGACCCCCTCCCCTCTAAAACCCTCAGTTTAATTCCTGGAGGACTGCTGATAGAGAGGTAATTTTGAGAATCTAAAATCAGCTTCTCATTGCAGAGTTCACTGGGATTTTAGAAACAGTCATTTCCTTCAAAAACTGTATTTTCAGAGGTACCTGGGTGGCTCAGTCAGTTAAGTGTCTGACTTAGGCTGAGATCATGATCTGGGGGTCCTGGGATTGACCCCTGCATAGGGCTCTCTGCTCAGTGGGGAGTCTGCTTGTGCCTCTGCCCCTCCCCCTGCTTATGCTCTCTCTTTCTCTTTCTCTCTCAAATAAATAAAATCTTAAAAAAAAAAACCAACTTTATTTCCACTTGAGGCAATCAGCAGATACATTCCTACTTATAAGAGGGAATATGAAATTATAGATATCTTTTTTTGACAAGAAAGCATTTGCCCTAAGAAAGAGAAAAGCACCTTGCTTCATTTCTCACTCTAAGCAAATCATAAAATATTTTATTCATGATTTCCTCTTTGATATTTAAGTAGGCAAAATGGTAAAGAAACAACAAAATCTTTTGAATACATACCATTACCTCATGGAAAAGCAGGGTAGAGCCTACCTACCTGGGTATGTGGAGAACTTTGTTTACATAACCTCCCAGTTCTGGTGTTCCTGAGAATGTCTGTCCCTTGCCTATATCCTGCCGCACTCTGCCTCTCCTTCTGTCTGTGGTATGACTCCATGCTCTCTCCAACTTGTCCTAAGCACAGCACAGGATTCTTGTCTCTGTTGCTACCGCTGCCACGTCACACATATCCTGCTTATGTGTTCCCTCCAAAACCCTTGCTCCTCCTCTTCTCTTCTCTTCTCACCTATCAACACTTCAAACTTAACAGATCCGAAACCAAACTCTTGACTTTCTGAAATTTGTCCCTTCACAGTCAGTCCTCCTTATTTCAGTAAATGGCAGCCATTCTCTTCCCAAACCTTGGAGTCATCCCTGATTCTTTTTTTTTCTTTTGCTCCATAACCAGTCCCCCCACATCCCTCACTGCCATGGCATCCCAGGCCACCATCACCTCTCACTTGGACCATTTCAATAGCTTAACAGGCTTTCACCTTTTCACCCAATCTTTTCTTCATGCAATAACCAGAATCATCCTTTCAAAATGTTAGTATACAATATACCCTCTTAACACAGAATTCTCTAATGGGCACCCATGTCACTCAAAGAATAATCTAAACTGTTCTACCACCCGCTTTTTGAGCTCATCACTTGTCAAGCACTCATCATTCCACTCCACTCAATCTACGTTGGCGATGCTGTGATTCCTTGAACCTGTTGGTCAGCCCCTTGCCTCAGGATCTTTGCACTTGCTATTTCACCTGCCTCCATCCCTTTTCTTCCAGATAGTCACAGGACTTGCCCTCCCACTTCCTTCACATTTTTGCTTAATTGTTCAGAGGGTTTTTCTCTGACTACCTTATATAAAAAAGAAGCCCCTCCCTAACCACTACCACTTTTTACCCCCTCACCTGGCTTTATCCTTCTTATCATCTCTGATACAGCATACACTTATCTGTTTGCCCTCTTTCCAGCCACCGGAATGGATACTTTAGAAGATCCAGGGTTCACTGTTAACTCTACTGCTGTGGTCCCAGCTTTTACTATAATCCTTGACAATTAATATGTGCTCAAAGGATGTTTGCAAAATGAATGACTGAGCAAACTTTCCTTAATTCTTAATTCTTAATTATTAATTCTGTAACTTTTACCTTTTCCCTATCTCCCTTCTGAATTTCCTCATGTATTTTTTCCTCAAAAGAACCCTCCCTATGTCCTCATTTCTACTGGAGAAAAAGTGGAGGTTACCCCAGAATCATTGATCTGCCACAATCATTTTACTTTTCCTCATGGAATCCTATGATTATTTGTTAATACCTACCTCCCACCCCTCTATCTTGAACTTCTAAAACACAAGAAGCAAATCCTTTCTTTGAATTTCAGAGACCTATGACAAAGCCTGATATATAGAAAACAAAAACAAGTGAGCAAGTGAGGGAGGGAGTGGGTGAATGGACAAACAAATGCTGTAAGAGAATAAATGTGCAAATGAATAGGGCCAGTTGAAAGCTGATAACCTTTGAAGAGCAATTATGGAAAGTACTACACCAGTTCAAGTGGGAGAAAAGAGGCCTTTTCTGAACCCTAAGAAACAATAGAACCAACTGAATATAACAGTGCATGTCAGACACAAGTATTTTTTTTTACTTCAAATTAAACAGCAGTAAAGGTGCTTTTGCTTAGAAATGATCAGTTTTAAACATATTCAGCAAATATGGTACCCTGAAGAGTCCATGTGAATTAATATTAATACACCTAATACTGATTAAGCTATGAAGCAATTTGTGAGCATTGTCTTGATAGATTATACCTTGATTGTGCAGCTTTCTTATTATTAGGTTCTATCCATATTTGTTACAAAATTGCAGAGCCCATGTTTAAAGTCAGGTCAACACCCAGCATGACGTGACTCCCTTGTGATTGCAGTGGACAGACCCCCTGACAACCCCTCTGTCAGCCCTGTACCATGTGGTAATAAGAGCATTCCTAGCAGCATAGTTCCTGCTTTCTTACAGAAGTCTTAAGCTGGAATGAAGTAGAACGAGCCTTCAAAGTGTTTACTTTTGAGAGCCTGAAACTCTCTGAGGTTAATGAAGAAGGAAAGCTAATGCCTTCTGAGATAATGTATGGGACAGCTTCTGAGATGTTCAATATACCATGGGACAACCCTGCGAGATTTGCTAAACAGATCAGGCAGCAATACATCATGAAAATGAATGCCCAAGAGGCCAAACACCAAACAGGTACACGACATGGAGGGAATCAAAGGAATTCTTATGTTTTATGACTGCCAGTTTTCCTAGTATTGTATCTAACAGATTCTCTTTAAACTGGCTAGATACTGAAACCAAAGACAGAATTTTATTTGTGGATCAGAATTGGTCAACATCTGTACAAGAGGATGAGATCACTAAAGAACCTTCAGATGCTCCTCAGTCTGATTCTAATAACATGAAGCATTCTGACCCAAACAGTAAGGAACCCATAGACCCTGATAATATACAGCTGTCAGAGAAGGAGACCAGCCTGAAGGCTCAGGTCCAGTCTGGGCCTTCAAGTGAGTAAACGTATGTGTGTGTGTGTGTGTTTGTGTGTGCGCGCACGCACAATTATAAGATGTATTAACCCAAAAAATGATTCAGGAAACATTATCTAAATTTAAATGCCTCCCTATTTCAACTGAAATACTGTTTAATATCTAAGTTAAAATTAGACTTTGCTACTGAGTGTTATTATTCAGTTCTTGTTATTTTAACCCTTGTTTTTAAAACGATCCTAAGGCCTGTTAGTCTGCTGTAACCTTAGTAAATATAGTAAGGGGAACATAAATAAAACTTTTATCATCAATATTTCATAGGGTTGTTATGATTATACAAAAAAAATTAGAAATTACCTGCAATTAGTGAACTGACCACACAGAGCTTGATACAAAATAAATGCTCAATGAAGAACAAGGATTCTCTTTCTCTCTTCTTTATAGCTCAGGTAATCACTCTTACTCTAGAATATATTATCATAAATGTTGTTATATTAGGAGATATAGAAGTATAGGAGACTTTTAGGCTAAATTTATTGAGCTATCTTATGCACAACTGTCAGATTAATTACCTAAAATCCAGCATTCGTTTCCTGCTTACAACCTTCAGTGGCTCCTACTAACAGAACCATCTCTTTGGCCTGCTATACATGCTTCTCCAGTAGTACCAAAGTACTTTTCCAAAATCCTTCCACTTTTCCCTTTTGCTCACTCATCCCATGCTCTAGCTAAACAGAATTAGGCTCTATTTCCTCTACACGGTCTGCTATTTTCATTCTCTGTGTCTTTTCTCCACAATACCCTCCACCTAGAATTCTCTTTCTCTATCTCTTTTGTAGAGTTCTCTTTTTTATTACAATTAGATTTCAGTGGCACTTCCATGAAGCTTTGTTAGATGTGTCCATCTCGAAATGGATCCCTTAGCATTCCCATGGTCATAATTAATCTGTGCTTCCTTTAGGGCATTAGTTAGGATTTCCTACTACTTATTATAATTATTCATATGCCTATATTAAGTTTCCATAATATTATAGCTTCTTAGAGGTCACAGGTATGCTTATCTTAAAAATATTAATGGTATGCTGGACCACAAAACAAGACTCAGCAAATTTTTACAGGATCAAAGTACGGAGTACATTCTCTATACAAAGACCAGACTACATTCTCATACCACAGTGAAATTATGGTGGACATTATTTATGAAAAATAATGAGAAAATACTCAAATATTCAGAGAGAAAAGTCACAATAGAAATTAAGAAATATTTCAAGCTGAATGGTAATGAAAATACTGAATATCAAAATTTCTATAATGTTACTGAAGCAACGGATACTCAGAAAGAAGCTCACAGCTTTAAATGAATACATTTTTTAAAAGAAAGCAAAAAATAAATTAGCTAAACATAGACCTCAAATTGTTAGATAAAGATGAGCAAAATAAATCCAAATAAAGTAAAAGGAAAAAAAAATAAGAGTAAATTATTGACAGAAAAAAATACAGATGTGTGGGTGGCTAGGTGGCTCAGTTGGTTAAGCATCTGCCTTTGACTCAGGTCATGATCCCAGGGCCCGGGGATCCAGTCCCACATCAGACTCCTTGCTCAGTGGGGAGCCTGCTTCTCTGCCCCTCTGCTGGCTCCTTCTCTCGTTATTTCTCACTCTCTCAAATAAATAAAATCTAAAAAGAAAGAAAATATAGATGTAATAAGGAAGAGCAAATACTACAAAATTCTGGTTCTTTGAAAAGACTTTGAAAATTTGATAATTTTTTTAAATAAAAGGCAGACCACAAAAAAGGAAGCATAAATAACCATATTAGGAATAAAACCATATCAGGAATGAAAATCATCAGGAATAAAGAAATAGACTTCCCTCTGATCCTACAGAAATGTAAAAAATAGTAGGAGGATATAAACAACTTTATTTCACTAAATCTTAAAATAAAATGACCAAATTAGTAGAAAAGTATATCTTACCAATAGTGACTCAAAAAGAAATAGAAACATGGTAGTGTAATCATTTAAATAAATTAAATCAATAATTAAAGATCCTCCTGAGTAGGACATACCAAACCCAAATGATCTTATTTACTAGGGATTCCAAACACTCAAAAAAAAAAAAAAATAAAATAAAGAGAAATAATTCTAATCTTAAAAATTATTCCCAGAAATTAAAAAATGGATATCCTCCCCTACTCATTTTACAAAGCTGGCAAAAACCTTATAATAACACTGTCAGGGATAGTACAACAAAAGAAAATTATAAATCAAACTCACTCATGAACATAGATGCAAAATTCCTGAATAAAACATAAATAAACTGATGTAGCAATGTACAGAATGATAATAATACATCACAAGCTGTTTTTATAACAGGAATAGAGGAAAAACATACAGTATAAAAATCAATAAAATCTATCAATTGACACAGAGAAAAATAATATCATCATCTCAATAGATGCAGAAAAAGCGCTTGAAACTCTATAGTAATTTATGAAGGAAATCTTAGCAAGCTAGCAAGAGAAGGAAACTTTCTCTACCTTATAAAGTTTATTCTTAAATTACTACAACTAACATTTTGTATCACGGTGAAAAGTTGGAAGATTTCCGTCAACACCAGGAAGATAACTACTATAAACAATTGTGTTCAATACTACATTGGAGATGCTAGCCAACTCAGTAAGGCAAGAAAAAGAGAAAAAGTGTAAGTTTTGAAAAGGAAGAAACAAAACTGTTACTATTTGTAAATATCATGTATGTAGAAAAACCAAAATAATCCACACAAAGATGGATTAATATGATAGTTTAACAAGGAAGTCATGGTTAAGAAAGGACACACATAAGATGTCTGCAGTGCTGGGTCCTTTCTCATATTCCATTATACTAAGCATTTGTAGTCTATGTACTTCTCTGTATATGTTAAAATTTATAATTTTTAAAAGCATTAAATAAGAGTGGTCTGTGGCACAAGAGAACAGGTATTCAGTCAGTATTGACTGAATGGTCATCTTGCCATTTCATTAGTTTAGATGATGATGAAAGAGAAAGTCATCAATTGAGCAGAATTAGGGAAAATCTGCTTACTTATTAATAGAGCAGATAGGTGAGGGTGAGGGAGTCAGAGGAGAGGAGGAAGAAATATTTATTTAATATTGCCCTGCTATATTCCAAGCACTCTGCTAAGACATTTTACATATATTAACTAGTGTTTAATATAAACCTCAAGTCTGTAAGATGCTATTATCCTAATTCTAAAGATGAAGAGTCAAAGACTCAGAGGGGTTAAGCAATTTGTTCAACTACATAGGAATGGGAAGTCAGGATTCCAACAGAAAGCTAACTCCAAACCAATGCTTCCCCCACTGTGTCTTGTGGCTTCCTCAGTTCCAGAAATTCCTTGTCTAGTGGTTTAGCCACACTCATAGTCTCTTCTTCATACTGATACTTAACCTGATTTTGTTACCAAAAGACTTATTTCTCTAAGTCCCTTATCTATTAGCCAAGCTCACAAAAATAATTAAGCCAAATAAGTCAGCCTGGGATATCATGCCTTTGTGCATCCTGTGGAAATGTAAATATATGAAAAAGAAATCACCTTGTGTTCATGTGGATCCAGAATAAGCCAGGAGGGAAAGAAGGCCTGTGGTTTTTTTCCCCGTATTTTGTTTTTTCTTTAGAGCAACTGATGTGTAGATTTCCTCAGGCAACTTTTGCCACCTGGTGGTGAAACCACGTAAACTGGCATTCCAGATCCTGGTGGAAAACAGATGATTAGAGCAACTCTGAACTGTCAGGGCTAAAAATGGAGAGTATATCCTAGAGGCTGAGCAATCCTGAGAGCTGAGCCCCCACGACCTATAAGGGATCCTATATAGTGTATGTTGATCCACATCAAGTAACTCTTGCAGCCAAGGGGAGGGGACAGGAGAGGGTGGCTGAGCTGTTAGGTCTCAGGGAATTTGTTGCTGTTGATCTTGCATTTCCCCCTAACTCTGAGTCATATTTCTAAAACAGCCACTTGAAATCCTTTTAAACAAAGCAGAAATTGTTCATGTATTTCCTGCACAACCATCTTAGCATCAAATACATATAAAAACGTGTTCCTGGATGTGAAGGACTGAATATTTGTGCTTTTCTTAACCAAACACGGGATTTCCATCTGAGACTGTTTTTGAACTTGACAGGGCCTATTGGATATTTATGAAAAACCTGAGAGTTGATAACCGTGATGCTCAAGGTTTAGATGTGCCCTTTATGCTTGTTGGGTGTTTTTTTAATAAAGTAACTGCTTTGCAGAGGGATCTTGTTATCTCTAAAGTAAAACAGATTAGGAAAGCTGTTTTTCAAAGGGATGAGAAAGCATCCATTTCCAGATGTGTCAAAAACTACTGAATCACACTGTCAAAGGATTATGCGGTTGAAGGCAGAATCAGAAAGAAAGAAAAAATGATTTTTATTCTACTATTAAATGAAGAGTTCACATTAGTTTTAGAATGTACTTTCCTACGACAAAATAACCGATGCACAATTTTTAGAACATATTTTCTAAACTGGAGACTTTTCCTGCTGGATCCTTAGATGCTGGAGGGAATATCAAATCTCCCGGAAATCTGGCAGACCACAGAATAGAATAATTTTTATTCCACAGATTTCATATCAGTTGCTTCAAGGACACATGGGACATCATGGTCTATTTAGAGTTATAGTTGGCCTGAGTTTTCTCTTGAGTAGATGTATTTATATAAATACAAAACTGAATTGACTTTATAGTTTTCCTCTAAATCAAAATGGAACGTTCATGCCTTCACCTTCACCAGCCCAAGGCAAGATACAACTAGTAGCAAAAATATAAGTAGCTATGCTCCAAAAAGAAAGAAAAACCTTGGCCTATCCTTGGTAGACACAATTAACTACACCCTCCAGAAGTGCAGATATGGTTCTCTTTGCCACAAAATGAAGTTGAATTTTATGCCTACCCTAAAACAAGCTTTTGTTGTGAGTTTCTTCCACAGTTCTGTGCTCTCTCGCTCTCTCTCTCTCTCTGGCTTTACATAGATTTCCAGTTTTATTATGTGATGTAGAATTTCCTCATTCAATCAAAACAAAATGTACTGAATCCTTCCCACGTGCTGGGTGCTCGGGGTAGAGTTAGGGAAAATAAGGTCAAGTTCTTATTCTCCAGGAATTCACGTTGAGATGGAGAGATAGACATAAACAAATAAACATCATAAGACACTAGTAACTGCTATGATCAAAAATAAAACAGGGCAAAAGGCAGAAAGACCCTTAAGGAGGTGACATTTGAGCAATGATATGATGAAGTGTTTGAAGCAGGTGATTATCTAAAAGCAAAGCATGTCAGAAAGAAAGGCAAGTGTAAAAACTTTGAGACACAGCAAGCAAGCTGGTGAGTCTGGAGGGGATGAGCAAAGGAGAGTGGAAGGGATGTCACTGGAGAGTGAAGGTGGAACTGTTTTTTATGTCTGACTCTGTAGGGATCAATTTGCTGTTGTTCTAAGGATGATCAAAGACCAGGTTGGTTTCGTTATTCAGTAGTATCACAAATATGTTGCCACAAGATACATCGCCCATGCCATTTCTTTGGTCAAACTTGGAATATGCTATACAGTGTATCCATTTTTATATGACAGTTTCAGAATCACAAGAGCTATAGCTTAATCAGTGAGTATTTGCAACTCATAAAGGTAAGGGTATATTTTTAGAAGTGAGGGAGATACTCTGATATGATTTGGGAATGCTTCATATAGGAAGCTGGGTTCTTTTCAAAGGGTTTAGTACAACTTTTCTAGGTAGACACTGATTTAGAATTATTAACATAAACACCTTTTGGGAGGCATGAAACATGCCTTTCAGGAATTACCTTTTCAGCCAGAAACATAGATCATAAGGGCAGCAAAAATGCACAGCACTGACAAAGGCAAGAACAAAGCCCAAATACAACTGGATGTTGGTGTCTTTGATTTATAGAACAGACCACGAACAATGAGATCAAAGATGAAGGAGTCACAAAGGCTGAGCCTCTTGAAAAGGTAAGGTAAGGAATTGTTTTCCTAGCAGTGTAGATACAAGTAAGATGATCTGAAAAAACTGTGACCCAGAGCGAGAGAAACACACACACACACACACATACACACACACACACACACACACACAAAGGAGAGGCACAGCAGGGAATGGGGGATTGCTCTGACATCCCCAGACCAGCTCCAACTGGAGATAAAGGAGTTAATTTCACTAGCGGCTTAAGCAAAACTTCCAAGCTCCATGCTCCTCTCTAGACAGTGTGGTTTGGCAACTTCACAAACACCTGCTGACCATACAGCCATGTAGAACTAATGCTGTCTTGAAGTGAGTTCAGAAAACCTGCCTATAATTGCTAACAGGACTCAGAAGAGTATAACCTAACAATAAAAATATTTAGATTATGTTGCCCATAAAAAAAAAAAAAACTCAAAGGCATACTCTTTCTGGCAGCAGTTCTCCTAAAATGTTGCCATATGGATTTATACATATGCAGATTTCCCCAATTAGATGGAGTACATGCTGGTTAGTTGAGGGAGTCCAAGAGGGCTTCATTTGGACTTGCACAAATTAAAGCTGAAATTGCACTCCTATGATTTTTTTAGAAACCCAAGAAGATGACTGTGGAAGCCGAGTTAGAGGACATAAAGAAAACGCAACAACGCAGTCTAATGGACTGGAGTTTCACTGAACATTTTAAACCGAAAGTTCTGCTTCAGGTATTAATGGACCGTGAGTCTCTAGGAGACACTTGGACAGGTCTGGGGAGTCATGGTATGATTTAAAACAATTCACTTCTAGGTCACTCTCTCAGATCTCCTTCAGATCAATATTCCTATTTACTTCAGCTATAAAAGGAATTTATTCCCAAATTGAGCTATGCATGCCGAGGGAATCTCCAAAATAGTTTAAAATATATTTTCCAAAGGGATGTTTTTATAAACAAAAAAGAAGTGTACGTGACTGCTGCACATATTTTCCAAGAACAAAAGTCAGGTATTATGGGACAGCAACCTTATATTTTTCCTGTATCACCTATCCATTCTATTAAGTTTTCACCACGTTTCAAAGTTTTTTTTTTAAGATTTATTTATTCCTTTGAGAGAGAGAGCATGGGGAGGGGTATAGGGAGAGGGAGAAAGAGAATCTCAACCAGACTCCCCTCTGAGTATAGCATCTGAGGACCCTGAGATCAGGACCTGAGCCAAAACCAAGAGTTGGTTGCCCAACTGACTGAGCCACCCAGGTGCACCTCCAAGTATTGACTTGATACAGTTGACAGGTCAAGGAGACCAGCAATAGCTAGCATTTATTGAGCACTTACCATATACTAGCAATGGCTTGTGCATATTATTTGCTCATTTAATTCTTGCAATAATCCTATAAAGTAGAAACTATGTAAATAGTAAGAAATTGAGACAACTTGACCAATAGTAACTTTTGTCCAAGGTTACATGTCTGGTGAGTGAGTGAAGCAGGATATGAACCGAAGAAATCTGGCCCCAGAACTTGTGCTCTTAACCACTCTGCAAAATAACAAGGAATCCTACAATTTCTGTTTACGTGTTTCATGCAAAAACCCATACTAATTTTTGTTTCATCTTTTAAATTTTAGTCTTATCAATATCAAACTTTTATATCCACACATTTTTAAAGCCAGAAAGTTCTATATAGAGTCTTAGGAAAAATAGCAGCTTTCTCCCACCCCTATACCTAAATTGCCAGAGGTTAAAAACTTTAAAATATTTATTTACCTATTTCTGGTGTTACTTAACTCAATTATCTCTAAAAACAAGTGTATTTTGTTTAGTTTTTGTTTCCATTGGGCATCATCATCAATTGACTCCCTCCTGAGAAAACAGCTCTGCAAACCATGCAGCATGTGCATGCATACATGCGTGCAAACACACACACACACAAGTACACAATCACTCATACACTCCTACATGCACACTAACACTTTCTGCCATCTGCTAACATTGTTAACCATATCATTTTTTGTTATATCAATATTCAGTATTTACTTTATTTCATTTGTATAAATGTTATTTATAGCTAAACTATGTAAATACTCTGATTACATTTCCTTTCTTGATACTTTTTGTTTTCCCTGGAGTTTGTTTTCTAACATTTTCTTCATTTGTGTGGTTTACTATGCATTTATCATTACTCAAGCTCTCTACCGAAGAGTAAGATCTCCTCTCAATACATTCAAACCTAACATTCTCTCAGTTTTACTCTAAGCCACCTCTCTCCCATATGCTGTGAACTCCTGCTAACCCTCCAGTCCTGCTTTGCAGCTGTGGGGAGCCTCCTTTATTGTCATCCTGGTCACAGCTTTGGCCTCTCTTTCCATCCAGATACTCCAGTGTCTGAACCCCATGTCATCTTCTTTCTTGGGTTACTCTCTTTTTGTAGGGGACTATCTCTTCTAGCTGCTTCCTGAATTAAAATAGATGGCAGGTAAATTTTGGGAGCATTGGATGTTTGAAAACATCTTAATTCTACCCTTACATCTGAGTGACAGTTTGGCTTTATATAAAATAGCTCAATTTAGAAAACATTTTCCCTGAAAATTTTGAAGCCATTCCTCAGTAGTGTTCTATCTTCTTGGATTGTCCTTGAGAAGGAAAAACAAAACAAAACAAAACATGAAATTCTGATTCCTGATCAGTTGTTTGAGTCTGGTTTTTGTTTTTTGAGGTTTTTTGTTTGTTTGTTTGTTTGTTTGTTTTCTCTCTCTCTGGAAGATTTTAACATCTCCGTTGTTCCAGTGTTCTTTGTTTCCTGTTTGTGTGCCTTGGTGTGGTTCTATTTCCAAGTATCATTCTGGTAAACCCAGTACAATGCAGAGACTCAAGTCTTTATATTCAGTAAAATGTTCTATAGTTGTTTCTCTGATAACTGTCTTCTTTCTACTTTTTCTCTTCTTTCTTCCTGCAGCTCCTATTATTCAGCGCTGGACCTCCTGGACTGAACTTTCCATACCTTTCCTCTCCTAAGTCTCCAATACTTGTCTTCTTGTTCTGGAGATAGACTCAGTTTCACCCAGTTCTTCTACTGAGCCTTCTATTTCTGTTATCATCATGGTTAATTTCCTAAAGTTTTATTTATAATCACAAATCACCTTTTTATAGCATCTTGTTCACATTCTCTGATACCATATCTTCTCTTATCTCTGTGAGGATATTAAGGTCCTTTGAAGTCTCAGTGTTTTCTCCCTGCATTGTCTAGTTTTCCTCAAATTTTCTTTTTATTTTTTTCTCAAATTTCTTTTTGGTTTTGTTTTTGGGTCTCCATTTTTCGTATTAGAGAGAAATATCTAATGACATTTGCCCTTTTGTTCATGTTAATAATGAGACACTAAAGGCATCATAGGAAGTGTTGCATGAGCTCAGGGCGGGGGGTATTTGTCAATAAATGAACTTCATTTTGGGATATTTGGCTGGCTGGTTTCCTTGGGAGACCCAACAGTGTTGGTGTATTAGTCTGTACTCTTAAGCCATTTGGATTCTCCAGGGGAAAAGAAATCCTAATCTGCTAACCGACAGACATAATTTACCTGTCAGGGTTTGGGAGCTGTGTGGGGGAGGGAAGACATTCAGGTTCCTTGCCATTCAGCCTCATTCAAGGTGGTAACCACAAGTCACAGGAAGCTTCCTAGTACTTGAAATGTAGCTGGTCCAAATTGAGATGTTCTGTAAATTTGCTATACTATATATAGAATATATTACTTATATAATATAGTATATATTACTTACTTATTGTATATATTACAACATATATACTATATATTTGTATAAGTATATATTTCAAAGACTTAATATGAAAAAAATGGTATGTCTCATTAACAATTTTTATATTGATTACATGTTGAAATGATAATATTTTTGACAGATTGGGTTAAATAAAATATACTTTTAAAATTAACTTCACCTGTTTCTTTTTACTTTTCAAGTGTGACTACTATAAAATTTAGAATTACACATGTGGGTCACCTTGTATTTCTTGGACATCAATTTAAACTTTTATGAAATTCCTTCTTTTTTTTTTTTTTTGCTGTAGTACATCTCTCCCTTGGTAGTGCCTAGGGTCCATTTTCTTAGAATGCACTGCATCATTCTGTAGGTAACAATCTTCCCTTTATCTGCTAACGGGGGAGGAGGGCAACCTCCTCATTGCTCAGAATTCTCAAGAGCTTCTGGGGACCCTAACAGCTTCCTAAAAAGTATTCTAATCTTCCTATTTTCAGTGCCACTTTTACCCCACTCTCAGAGGTACCTAACACTGCCATTTCTTGAGCCTTTCTGCACTTCTGCACACAAGTAAGGTTACTTCTGATCTCTCATAAAATTAATCTTAGAATTTGGTCTTCTATGTCTGCTGTCAGTAATCTCTTATCCTTCTGCTTTCTAGCTTCTAAACTCTTGTTACCTTTATTTCCTCTCCCGTGACCTTCAATTTCATGGTATTAAAACCCAGTAATTTTACTGTTCTTTTAATGAGGTGCCAAGAAGTACATGTGTTTAATCTTTTATCTTTAACTGGACATTCACACAGACTTTTTTTTTTTTTCAATTTGGTTCTGTCCTCACCATTCCATGAAGCTGCATGATTGCTGTCCTGCCATATCTATGGATATATATCTTTCTTCATCTTCCTTGACCTTTTAACAGCAACACAGAGCTGACCACTTCACTGTGAAATACTCCTCACTCTCCATTACCAAGATGCCTTAATATACCTCTCCTCAGTGCTCTGTTTGGAATTTTGTTGACCTAACGTCTAAATATCAGAATGTCTGGAGTCTTAGCCCTGAACCATCTTCTCTCTACTGTAAACATTCTTGTGATGATTCATCTATGTATTTGATCTAATATTAATGACTTCTAAAATTTTACCTTCCAAACGATTTCTCTCTTGATTCCACCCTAGAAGACCTAACTCCAAATTCCAATTGAATTTCTGACAAGCATCTCAGCTTCAGTGTCTCAGATGAAACTAATAATTTTCCCACCTAAGCATGTTCTTCTCCTCATCGATCTCAGAAAATACCACCTTCAAGCCAAATTGGCTAAGAGTCATCCTTTATCTCAGCTTTTCCTGTGTCCTGCCTGTCTGATCCATCATCAAATTTTGATACCATCAAAGCTCCTCACCGTCTCCACTGTGGCTACATCAGTCCAGCCACCATCCAGTTGTTCTAGCACAGCATCCCCCTCATCGTCAACCCACTTCTGCTCCTGCCCCATCCATGCTATGTATCAGACAGATACTCCATCAATTTCATCTTCTTAGGATATGTCTCTGAATCCAGGATGATCTATAAAAATCTTAATCAGCTCTTAAAGGAAAATCTTACCTTGTTCACTTTTGTTTTCCTAGAACCTACACAGTATCGGGAACATAGTAGGTATTTATTGTTTTAACTGAAGTATAGTTAATATACAGAGTTATATTAGTTTCAGGTATAAAATATAATGATTCAACTCTTCTATACATTTCTCAGTGCTCGTCATGATAAGTGTTCTCCTCATCCCCTTCACCTGTTTCACCTGCCTCTGGGCAACCTGCCTCTGGGCAACCACCAGTTTGTTTTCTGTATTTAAGAATCTGTTTTTTGTTTAACTCTTTTTCCTTTGTTTGTTCATTTGTTTTGCTTCATAACTTCCACATATGAGTGAAATCATGTGGTATTTGTCTTTCTCTGACTGACTTATTTCAATTAGCATTATACCTTCCAGATCCATCCATGTTATTGCAAATGACAAGAGTTCATTCTTTTGCATGTTGGGGTAATTTTTAATTATATATATATGCAATAAATTTATATGGTATATATAGTATACATTATATATTTATATATCTATATATTTAATTGTATATATGTACATATATATTGTACCTATATCTGTATACATATATGTATATATGTAATTGTGTGTATATATGTGTGCGTGTATATATATAAATATATCTCACATCTCCTTTATCCATTCACCTATGGTAGAACATTTGGTTTACTGCCATATCTTTTTTTTTTTTAAGATTTTTATTTATGTATTTTGAGAGACATAGAGCAAGCATGAGCAGAGGGGAGGGGCAGAGGGAGAGTGAGAAGCAGACTCCCTACTGAGCAGAGAACCCTATGCAGGATTTCATCCCAGGACTCCAGGATCATGACCTGAGCTGAAGGCAGATGCTTAGCCGACTGAGCCACCCAGGTGCACAGTTGCCTCCATATCTTGGCTACTGTGAATAATGCTGCAATAAGTACATGTTTATTTTTAATAATAAATTTATGGCACCAGCAATATTAATATAGACTAATAGGTAAAAGCCAAATAGTAAAAAAAAAAGGTGAGGAAAGATACATGAAAACTTGTCAAGCATTGATTGAGAGCAACTATAGCTCTGAGAAACTTAGTGTAAATATGTAAATTCTAGCAGCCAAAGTAAATATGAAAACACATTTTGCAGAGCTCTCTAATGGAAAGAAGGATACATATTCATCAGAAATGAACATACTTGGTTTAGGGATTTAAAGTCTAAAAGGAATTTGCGGGGTGCCTGGGTGGCTCAATGGGTTAAAGCCTCTGCCTTCGGCTCAGGTCATGATCTCAGGGTCCTGGGATCAAGCCCTGCTTCGGGCTCTCTGCTCAGCAGGGAGCCTGCTTCCCCCTCCCTCTCTCTCTTGCCTGCCTCTCTGCCTACTTGTGATCTCTGTCTGTCAAATAAATAAATAAAATCTTTAAAAATAAATAAATAAATAAATAAATAAAAAGAATTTGCTTTTCCAAAAAGTAAAGTAATGGATAGTACCATATGTAACAAAAACAAACAAAAACAATTAATGCAAAAATATTCACCATATGTGTATTTCTGGTATTACTTCTTAGGGAACAGATGTAATAGCTTAAATGCCACACCATAAAGACTCTCATACAAGGGACTAGATTGGGGGAGTAAATGTATTATTTTGGTAATGCTACCAGTGTAAAATTGAAAGCAAAACTAAAACAGTCCTTTCCTAATATAATAAGCAATTCCATGCCTTCAGATCACCCAAACAATAGAAAACTGAAAGTTCCTACACGAGTTTGATGTTGAAAACAACCCACAGCTACCTAATTTATCTTCCCGTGGACATGTTTCCTTATATTGATCAGCAGTGAAATGGAAGCAGGACACAAGTGTGCCTACCCTCTCTGTCCCTCTATTGGTAGCTGCAATTGCAGGGCATGCTGAGGGTGGAATGTTCTGGAAAAGGCCAGGAGTAGAAGTCGTTTGAAAACAGTATGTATGAAAAAGACTACTCACCTCATTTCTCTATACTATAGCCCGGTACACGTGGAGAGCAGTCTTTGGAGTGCAAAAACAGTGACACTTGGACTTGTGTGAGACTTGTCCTGGAAATTACGAACTCTGTGTTGTTGGACGAATCTCTTTTCCTCTCTGAGCCCCAATTTCCACTGAAAAAATGAGGATTTTAGTATTTTTAAATAGGAAAAATAACTGTACCTATTTATCTGGGGTTTTTAATAATGACAAAATGAAAGGATCTGTATGAAGGCATGGAAAAAGTTAAATAACTGCTTGACTTAATTATTATCACCCAGCCTTAATAAAAAACACATGAAACCTGGTATCTGTTTTTCTATAAGAGTTGCTGAATTCAGCTCCAAAAAAAAAAAAAAATCCACTGCTTATGTTCTCACTAACAGTGAGACTAACAGGAAGAGAAGGGAGCTGAGATATGCCCTAGCAAGAAACCCTCCTTCTGGGGGGGAAAAACACACACACACACACACACACACACACACATACACAATAATGTAAATATGTTGATTTCAGGTTCTTCAAGAAGCCAACCAGCAATACAGGTGGATTGATTCTTATTACCATACCCAGGACAACTCTCTACTTTTAGTGTTTCATAATCCAATGAATGTACAACGTCTGCATTGTGAACATTGGAATATTGCTCTTCACTCCAATGTTGGATTCAGGTAACCAACTTTGTTTAGTTAATTGCTATCTTAGTTTAGTTACCTTGTTAGTTACTTAGTCACCTGGTTAGCTTCTTAGTCTAAGCAAGGTGGCTCAAGTCAAAGAAACTTTCAATTTAGTTCAAGCCAAAGGTCTGAGCTGTACCAGCCACTGTGATAAGCATCAGAGCTATACCACTAAAGAAGACAGATGTCATTTTGGGACCAGTTAAGTCTAATGAGGATGCTCTTACCTCACACCTGATTTACTTAGATTCTAATAAAACTGCCTCTGAAAGATTTCAAGTAGAAATTCTGAAACATGACATTCTGCATGCTGATTCTGGACAACTCCACTTGATCTGGGGAAGACTCAAAGGTAGGCAACTGAGTGACATGTCAACACAGCAGCCAGTTGCTCAGCAAACTGAGACCTCTAGAAATCAGTGATTTTTTTCCAAGCTCCTTGATTATTTCTTCAGGATCTTAAAGCTTTGTTCTCTTCTCAGTAATGATGAGAATATTTTATTTTTTCATTGCTGGTTAATGTTTATCCAGTATTTATTATTTGCACAGCATTGTTTTAGCTTAAAAGGATACAGAATGATAGAAAATGGACTTGCAGAATAACTGGGGAAACAGGTTGTGTACTAATCCTTCGCTCACATATACAGCTCACATAATATAGTACATTATTTTGGGAAGAATAGGAACACTTCACATGGAAAACCGTTTAGAGATAGTGGCTGTTTGGGGGATGGATGGCAGGATCCATTGGGAGAGAGGATAGTGTGAAAGGATTATCTACAACATTTGCAATTCTTCTAAAATTAATCTTCTATTCAGGATTTCTATTCTTTCAATTACTTTTGTAATTTACATTGCAATTACAATGTAATTTACTGTTCTACAACTTCATGCATGACATTTGGATTTTGGATGTCTATTACAATAAAATCAAATAGTATTCTCATGATAAATGTCCATTCCTGAGTGAAATGTATTAATGTCTGTCTTTTTTATTATAATTTTGTCTGTTTCTCCTGTTAGCTTTCATGTGTACGGTGTGTATGTTTAAATTTATTTTTGAATCTGTATTTTTAAAACCATCCTTCTTAATGCATTTTAACTTTTACCAACATAACATATCCTTCTTGTTCCCTTTAATGTTTTTGACCTTGAATTTCACCACATTTGATATAAGTATCATCGGACAGTATCTTTTATATAAAAATTTACTAATATAACTTTCTCAATCATTTTACATGTCAACTAGGAATTGTGTCTCACAATATTAATAGAAAACGGACTACAGTGGTTAAACTAATAAGGGGATTAGTTTTCTTCTGTAGTGAGAAATCTGTAATTGGGCAGTGTCTCAGGGATAGTGCAGCTACTCACCAAAGTTGTCAAGGATCTGGACCTTTTCTGGCTTCCTAGGTAGCCATCTGCCACACTTTCATTTTCTTGCATCATTTTGATTTATAGCTACATGTCTTTTAAATACCAGCTTGGATTTTTCAGCTACTCTGAGATCCTCTGTCTTTGAAAAGATTTTAATAATAATTAGTAACAATATTTTTTTATATTTTATTTTATTTTTTCAGTGTTCCAAGATTCATTTCTTATAACAATATTTTAAAACTTTATATTTTATTTTTAAAAAAATTTTATTTACTTGAGAGAGAGGAACAGACAGATGGACAGAGAGAGATCATGAGCAGGAGAGAAGGGCAGAGGGAGAAGAAGTCACCCTGCTGAGTAGGGAGCCCAATATGGGACTTGATGCCAGGACCCTAGGATCATGACCTGAACTGAAAGCTTAACTGACTGAGCCACCTGGGTGCACCTATTTTTATTTTATTTATTTATTTTTTTTTTTTTTGAGAGAGAGATCACACACAAGTAGTGGGGGAGGAGCAGAGGGAGAGATAATCTTAAGCAGGCTCCATGTCCACCTCAGAGACCAACAGAGAGCTCAGCCTTATTTCCCTGAGATCATGACCCGAGCCAAAATCAAGAGTCAGATATTCAACTGACTGAGCCACCCAGGTGCCCCTAAAACTTTATATTTTAAAGAATTTATTTATTTACTTCTATTTTTATCAATAATGTCTTTGGCTTCATTCTTACCATTTAATAAGTATATTTCTACTTAAGGATTAATCCCTTTTCTTCTTTTTATTAGATTGAATTTTTAGTTCATTCTTAATGTATGATGTTTTTAAAGTTATACATTCTATTTACATCCTTCTAGAGGTATTCTTTTAAATCACATGTTTAAATATTTTGTAACATAATTGGAGTTAATGAGTATTAATATCATTTCACAAAAAATGTTAAAATTTTTTAACATATTTTCACTTACTCCCAACCAATCGCCTACCTCCCATTTTGAAATTTTATTTCCAATTATTAAGTAATATTTTCTAATCACAGACAAGTAACACAAATATTTATTTACATTTAATTACAAATCATACTTTTTTTTTCCTCAACTCTTATTTATATCCCATGTTGTCTTCTTTCTTAGATTTATTTTTTCAATGCAGCTGGAGTACATTTTTGAGCAATTCTTTCAGAAAGTATCTATGGCTGGTGAATTCCTGAATCATTGCATGCTGACATATTCTCTATTTTGTCACCTCATTTGAATACTGATTTGGCTGTGTTCCTTCATCCCAGAAAAATAGCAAGAACTCTAGGTTTTGTTTGAAAGGCAGATTCATTGAAAGGTTCTGAAATGGAGAGAGACATGATCTGACTTAAGAATGAAAAGAATCTCTCTAATGACTCTGTTGAGAGTAGACTACAGAGGATCAAGATTGGGACACAGGGACAGCCTGGGAGACTACTGCAACCATCCTAGCAAGAGGTGATGGTGGCTTAAACCAGGAAGATAACAATAAAGTTTAAATGAGAAGTGATTAGGTTTTGAATATATTAAAAAAAAAATCATTTGGGTCTCCCAAGAGATTGGAAGGGAGTGTGAGAAAATAAAAGTGGTCCAAGGATGCCTTCAGGGCATTTGGGCTGATCAACTTGAAGTATAGGCTTGCTATCAGTTAAGACGCCAAAAAGGCTTGATGGGGCAGTTTGGAGAGGAAGATCAGTCAATTTAGGAACAGGTTGAGTTTAAGATATCTTTTCCTTTCGCAATGAAGATGTTGGGTATCCATAACTCATAGTCTACAGTTTTCAGTTAATTTCTTTAAAAGGAATCAAGAATGAAAGAAATTTGTGAAATGACCTGAGTATAAAATCCCTCTAGCTTTATTTTTCAAGCTTTAGAAGCCTCACTTTCACACGATTTGACAATAACTAATCTTGATGGTCAAACCTAAATATTTCAACTTATTTCCTCAGAAGCAACTCTCTCAGGACATTCATATGTTAAAGTATACATAACATTTCATTACAAATAAGTACAGTCATCAGTATAAACAGAATGAATGGGTTTGGAAACAAATATGACCAAATCCTGGTGAGCAACAACTCACTGGTGTGAGCATAAGTGCACAAGCAGTGTAGGGCACAGTATTTGGGGTGTGGGTATTTGCAGGCCAGGAAGTTTTACAGCAAGACTTCAGCATTTCAATTAATCCAGCAAGTCAATCAAAAGAGTTTCTATTATGCTATAAAATTTCCCTAAAAAGAGATTGCACCATATTACTCTCCAGCTAATAGTGCTGGAAGAATCAAACTTTTTAATCCTCTACTGGGATGGAAATGTCTCATTTTTAAATATGTATGTCTTTAATTGTGGATGAAGGTGGTGTTTTTCATATATTCACTGGATATTTATATGTGACAGTTTTGTACAAATTATACCTAGGATATATCTGAGTCTATTGCATTTGTTACGTGGGCAATTTTCATTTGCACAGTTGATATCTTAAGTATTGGTTGATTATAACTAACAGTAACAATTGTTATTTGCTCTTTTTTGCCTTTTTTTAAGGAATTATTTGGAACTTGTGGCAAAATCCATTCAAGATTGGGTCATAAAAGAAGAAGCCATATATCAAGAATCTAAAATGGCTGAGGAAATCAATAGGACAAAGGCTGAGCTGGAACTGAAATCTGCTGGTGCCAAAATCACTTCTCCTGGCAAAATCAATGCTATTAAAAAATCTAAAAGTAAGTAACTGGTTGAACTTACATGTAAAGTCCAAAGACATTTTCCTATTTGTTAATGTAATCAGGACTGAATATTTAAGTATTAAAAAGAGTTGCCTATAAATTTCTGTGACTCTTTACTTTTTCTAAAAAATCAAATAGTTGCATTCCAAATATGATGAGATTGATGATGGGATAATGGAATATTTGACATTATATTGATGCCGCTTCCTGCCAGACCTGGCAGATTCTATCTGTCCAGCAGATTAAATGTGATGTTAGAGAAATGCCAGATGTCTTTATTTTGGCAGGGTTGATAGGTTCATCTATCTAGGATTTATTGACAATATAGGAGACAAATTCAGAGTCAGTATCTCTCCATTAGAATGCTTACAGATTCCAAAAGTAAGATTAAAACAAGACCTTTCTTAGGAGAGTAAGCAGAAGAGTCCCAAGACTAACTGGAGGTAAGAACCTGAAAATAAAGGGAAAATGGTTTCTTGGGGGCTTGTGAGAGGCACTTGACAGGATGTGGAATCAATACATACATTTATTTTTGTTAATTTCCATGGCTTTGTTGAGGTGGGGAAAGGAAAGAGGGTGAAAAAAAGAGGAAGGATATTTGATAAAGAACTAAAGCAATGAGGTAACTTTTCTAGAAAATAAAGATATCTCACTAGGTTCATGCATAGGAAATGTTTCCATGTTAATAATATTTATTATTTCTGATAGCAGAAGTTGAGAGAGTGATTTCTTGTAAAGAAGCAAAGCTATATATTTTCCAAAGATTTTGCAACTTCTGTCAGTTACCAAAAGAATTTCTGCTGGCTTGATTTTAAAATAAAAATTAGAAAACCAAGTTGGTAATGAATCAGTCACCATCCACAAAAATGCTTATATAATCAATCCATCCATCAGCTTGACCTTGCTCCTGATGGGAGCACAGAAGGACAGCATTATGTACCTGGAATGATAGATTGGAACTATATAAAAAAGAGAGGTAGGGTCACCCTCTCACAATAACGTCTAGGGCCACACTTGCCTATGAGCAGGAAAATTTGTGGGTTTACTGCTTTTTCTTTATTCTCTTCTGAACAGAATCCAAAGCTTAATTGTCATCTAGATGCCTGGGGGAAAACCAGAAAATGGTCAGTTTGGGATGGGAATACACTTGGTAGGTATTGCATTCAGTTTGAGACCTTTTAAGTCAGGAAAGTTGTAAATCTTCAAAACAGAATGACTATAATGGCAAGAGAAGGGCTTCAATGTAAATTAGATTTGTTCTGTGTGGTCTTTTAAGGGTTAATCTAGGAATTTTAGTTTACAGCTATAGGAAGAGAGAGTCTACTTCAATAAAAGCTTCAGGGTCGCAACACAGTGAGAATGGAAGTCCATACTTCCACCAAGGACAATGACTTCCTCATCTCTAGAGGAGCTCAGTTCCACTTCAGACATCTGCTCTGGAGGCAGCGAGAAAAAGTGAGGGATGAATGAATGGGGAGTTGGACTTGATTGCCTGTAAAATCCCCTACAATCTAGACATTTGGCCCTTCTATGAAACTTTGTTGTTGAGAGTTACTAAGAAATTTAATTTTCTCTGGTTATAGGTAGCAAAGGAATGAACAAATCAGAGATAACAGATCAAGAAAAAGAAAAAGAGAAGGAAAAGATTCCTTTCATTTTAGAAGGCTCTCTCAAGGTAATTCAAGGAAAAACAAATGATACTGAATCATTACAAATTCAAATTTACTGTGTGATAGAAAGTTTGTGTGGTGAAATAGAAGTGATTTTTTTTTACTAAACTCTCAGAAATAATTGAATCTGCAATGAAAAAGCAGTCTCTCCGCTGAGCTGTCTTCTTCTCCAGGTGATAAACCTTTAAAGGACTCTGTGTCATTCACATTTATATAACCAAAATCCAGGTCCGTGTCTTGTTCATACTTGGTATACTCTCTGTTTCTGCTGCAGGTGTTTGTTTTTTGTTTCCAATTTTTAATTGGAATTTTAATTACAAAATTGATATATGGTTTATAATAAGTCAAAATTACTTTGGCTCTCCTAAGCCCCTGAAAATAAGAAATAGTAACGATTTGGTATGCTCTATACTCATACCTGCACACATGCACAAATAAGGAAGAAGTCCTGCATTTGTTTGGTTTTGATTTAGATTGATATATATATATTTTTTTTTACTCTGCCACATAACTTTTTTTCATAGCAACATATCATGACTGTCACTTCCAAGTAATATCTATAGATTTAACTTATTTACAGAGCAGTATTGTTAGTCTATAATTTGGATATTTATAAAGTATAAAACAATTTCCTTATTAATAAGTATCATTTATGTTTTTATTTATACAGAAATATTTTACTTTTATGTAGTCAAATCCATCATTTTTGGCCAAAATTTAAAAGACAAAAAGCATATTTTGTCAAGGATGTGAAGCAAAGTGAATTCTCATATACTGCTGGTTGAAATATAAGTGGGCACTTCTACTTTGGAAAGCTGGACATACCTATTAAAATCAAGCATACTCTCTCTCTCTCTCTCTCTCTCGCTCTGTCTCCTTTCAAATAAAAAAAAATAAAATCTTTAAAAAAAAAAAAGAAATATTAAAGGGGATCCTGTAAGTGGAGAGAGCACCCAAAAATAACAGAGACCAGAAAGGAACAGAAGCAATATACAGAAAGAATGACTTTATAGGTAATACAATGGCACTAAATTCATTTCTTCCAATAGTTGCTCTGAATGTAAATGGGATAAATGCTCCAATCAGAAGACACAGAGTATCAGATTAGATAAAAAAGGAAGACCTATCTGGTGTCTGTAAGAAATTCATTTTAGACCTAAAGGACACCTCCAGATTGAAAGTGAGGAAATGGAGAACCACTTATCATGCTATGGAACATCAAAAGAAAGCTGGGGTAGCAATCCTTATACCAGACAAATTAGATTTTAAACCAAAGACTGTAGTAAGGGATGAAGAGGGACACTATATCATAGTTAAAAGGGCCTATTCAACAAGAAGATCTAACAATTATAAATATTTATGCTCCTAACGGGAGAATCCAGTTACATAAGCCAGTTAATAACAAAGTTAAAGAAACACATTGATAATAATACAATAATAGTAGGAGACTTTAACACCTCACTCACAGCAATGGACAGATCATCTAAGCAGAAGATCAAAGAAGAAACAAGGGCTTTGAATAACACACTGGACCAAATGGACTTCGCAGATACATTCAGAACATTCCATCCTAAAACAGCAGAATACACATTGTTCTGGAGTGTCCATGGAATATTCTCCGAAATAGATCACATACTATGAAATATCATATGAAATCATATGATATTTGTCTTTCTCTGACTGACTTATTTTTGAAGTCCACACACCTCTGTTACTTCCTGCTTTTAACTCATTGGACTTCCTGAATGTTAGGGTCCATGTCTTTCATCAACTCTGGAAATGGCTCAGCCATAATCTATTCAAATGCTACCTTTTCTAAAGTTCTATATCATTTCTAACAGAGATTTCAAACTCACCTTCTTATTTTTGATACTTTTTTTGTTTCCTATTTAACTTTGGACACTTCTTTCTCTTTAAACAAATTAAAGATTAAGCAGATTAAAATATTTATGTTATATCCTCTATTTGATAATTCCAATATCTTCTTCGACTTCACAGATATGTCTTCACAGTATGCTTCTCCTTCAGATTCTTGCTTCTGGCTTACTTCCTCATTCTCATTTGTGAGCGCATTTCCACCCACAACCTTTTTAGAATACATTTTTAAGGTAATATATTTTGGTCTCAAATCTGTGTGAGGACAACTTGTCATTAGTTCTCAGGGGAGATTCCCCCCACCTCTTCTCAACCTTTAACTCAGGGACAAAGAAGCAAGCTAGAATTCATGCTCTTCCTCTATAGGGAAAGTTTGTTTGTTTTTTTAGTTCATCCAACGAAAGTGTCATTTTTTAAAAATATCTGCTCTATTCAGAGGTCTCTGATTTGATCTCCCAAGTTAATGCTCTAGTCCCTGTAACTCATTGAAACTCCTGTTCTAAGCTGCCAGGGATGGACATAAAGCCCTCAGAAACTTCTGTCCTGAATACTCCTGTTCCTCACTAGACTAGTGCTTTTTCATACCTTTTATTTTGTTGCCAGCCCTGCTATGCATTGCAATGACAATTTACATTTTATCTATCATTTTTGAAATGTTTTATGCCAGGAGCGTTTCTTTGCACATCTGGTCCACCATATTGCTGGATTAACCAGGACTTAAACTAGGGACTGGATTCATGTGGAAAAATATAGAAGACAGGGAGACCAGCTAAGAGGCTGATGTAATAGTTCAGGATAAAATGAGAAGACCTGAATTAAAGGAAAATTCAAAGAAGGTGAGAGAGGAAGCTCAGTAAAGAGAATTCTCTAAAGAGCTTGGCAGGGCGTGGTACACCGAAGTTGGGTGAAAGAAGAGAGTCAAGGGTAACTCTGAGGTTTCTAGCTCAGTATCTTAATTTATCAGAGATGCCTTACAAAAAGCATATGAAGTATTCTCCAAAATGAACCTGAATGGGATCTAATTTGTTTCAAAGTCCTGTTAATTTTTTTAAATGTGTTTATAGGCATGGAAAGAAGAACAAGATCGATTAGCAGAAGAAGAGCGCTTAAAGGAAGAAAAAAAAGCAGAAAAGAAGAGTAAGGAAGCTGGTAAAAAGAAAGGCAAGGAAAGGGTAGAGAAAGAAGACAGTAAAGCTTCAAAGAAAAAATCTCTTTTCAAGGAGAAATCTAAAGAAGAACAAATGAAGATTCCAGAAGTAGCAGAGGAACCCCTCCAGCAACCAGAAGCTGAGATCACTTATCCGGTAAAATCAGCGTTCCAAGAAGCCTCTTTGGGTCCTTACAAATTGTTCTGGGAGAAACACAGCTTCTGTGGAATCACAAGGTTCCCAGTCTTCACTGACACCACAGGAGGCCTTGAAGTTTCTTCTAGCGTAGATGATCTCAGACCCATACTCAACCCTCAGATACATAGGACTTTCACTGTAGCCAGTCACCAAGATGGGAATACCGTCAGGCCAGTTTTTCTTGAGTACTGTGAAACTAGGTTACTAAGAACAAGAAAAATGGAGATTTGACACAAAAGCATTCATTTAGGTTAATGTAAATAAAGCAACTGTGAAAGATCAAGGTGAATACAAAGGTTAGCTGTATCGTCTCAGGTGACAGGCATTGCTGAGTATGCACCCATGTATTTTGCTTGTAGGCATTGGTAAAATCATCCCTTTGCCAGTCTGTCCCTCAGACAGTCTTATAAGGAAAACCTAATGGGCAAGAGATGGACAAAAATGTAACAGCCCTTGTTCTTTCTAGTAGCTACTCTAAGCCAGTTCTCAGGCATTAGCATGCATCACAATCACTTGGAGTTCTATTAGCAACACTTAGCAAAAAATGTCATTACTATATTACTTCCTAAAGTATAAAGTGTCAAGAAAAATGCATAAAGTGTCACTATTCCTCAATATATCAGTTTACTTTAAACAGAAAATTAATAGCCAATGAAAGAGAAATTGATTTCTTCTCCCACTGCTTTTCAGTAGTATAATTATTTGATCTGTACTAACTGGAAGGATGCTCTAGAAGGATGCTCCGGTGAACAGATTTTAAAATCATGGACCTCCTTTAATTCTGCCTGTCTTGTAATATCACAGGAGGTGCTAAAGATAATATGGACACTGTCCTGTGAGTCTATAAAGTGACAGACATTCATTTAGCAGAATTAAGCTTACAGCAACTTTAACTGGCTCACACTGTTGAGTTGATTTTTGTCAGTTGCCGTTTCACACTCAAAGCCTGATGTTTTCCCTTCTAGTTTCATGGATATAATATGGGAGACATACCCATCCAAATCTCAGGAACAAATTCTTATCTGTATCCTTCAGATGGAGGGCAGATTGAAGTAGAGAAGACAACATTTGAAAAAGGTACCTTTTGAACACAGCCGGTTAATAGTTTGGAAGATACTAACCCATTTCAGATCATCTTGGGGCCTTGTACCCTTGGATGTGATAGGTGAGAGTGGTAATGTGCCCAATCTTCTTTATTATACACCACATTTAGCACTTCCAGCCTTCACATTCTTCTGTTACAATTGACTGCAAGGCACAAGCCAGCTGAGAGGTTAGCTGGGACATACTGTTACAAACATTCTGGTTGTTAAAATCTTAAAATGTTTCTGTATGATTTGAAAATATTATAATCGTAACCACAATAAACATAATTAATTAGTAATATTAATTACAGCATGTAGTGTTATCTCAGAAACCAAGCACACACTGTGATTTGAGAGCAAATTTCTAATCTGGGCTCTGGAGCACCAAGCTTGGGGTTCTGCTACCAAGGTCCAGGTAGTTTTGCCACAGAGAAGTTTCTTCTGGATTCAGAAGTCTTTGAATGGGAGATGAGCCTTGTGGATGCAGTGAGGACCTAGTCTAGAAAACCCCTAAAGGAAATGTGTAATTCTTCCCAAGAAGCAGATATGAGCTCTAGGGAACCTATCCGGGACATCTTATAGGGTCTATCTTTTCACTGGGCTTTAAAGATCTCTTAGGTAGGGGTGCCTGGGTGGCTCAGTGGGTTAAAGCCTCTGCCTTCAGCTCAGGTCATGATCTTAGGGTCCTGGGAGAAAGCACTGCATTGGGCTCTTTTCTCAGCAGGGAGCCTGCTTCCCCTTCTCTCTCTCTCTTCCTGACTCTCTGCCTACTTATGATCTCTGTCTGTCAAATAAATTAAAAAAAAAAAAAAAAAAAAAAGATCTGTCAGGTAGATTTGAGAACCTGGGCTTTATTTGGTAGCTTATTGTCTCTCAGAACTGTGAGGAGTTCAGTGTGGAAGAAATTTGAGCAGGGCCCTATTTAATGTCCACAAGGTTATGCCCCCCAGCAAGGGGTAACACAGGCTCCTCCTACCCCCAACCTCTGTCTGGCACCAGGCTTACCCCTCCTCATTTCCTATCCTCCCCTCCCTACCTTTCTCTCTCTCAACCCCTCTCTCTTCCCTTCTTTCTTTCTTGTCATCTAATATCTACCAATTTAAGAAGGAAGTCATTGCAAAAGTTACATACTGTTCCCTACGTGAAATCATGGCTCAAGTGGAAGCATCATTAGATGATATCACCACATCAAACAAAAGATCACATCAATAATTTTTAAAATAAAAAGGCCTGAAAGTCATTCAAATTATTTAAACAATGGTTGGCGGTACAACTTATATCAAATGTCAGATCATTTTATTATATAAGACTTGTTTATTTAAACCATGATAGGGATTATTATTAATATAGGTACACATATTTATATTATATGTTTTCATAGTTGATATTTGATATTTTGAATATTTTGAATATCTCCTGGGGTATAGTGTATAATTAATAGTAATTAAAAATGGAGCTCAAAATCACATAACTGAGAAAACTACTGGACTCAAGTTTTATGTTGCTATGTTCTATTTTCCATAACTATTCCTCACACTTATTGAAATTTGTATATGCTCATGTTTATTAGTTTCAGACAAGTCACAGCAAATACTAATCCTATCAAAGAGGCAGAAGATAGCTCAATCAAAGTTGAAAAGAATAAGCTGGATTAAAAAAAAGGGGGGGGACACCTGGGTGGCTAAGTGGTAAAACCTCTGCCTTCGGCTCAGGTCATGATCCCGGAGAGGGAGCCTGCTTCCCTTCCTCTCTCTCTGCCTGCCTCTCTGCCTACTTGTGATCTCTGTCTGTCAAATAAATAAAAATAAAAATCTTTAAAAAAAAAAAAAAAAAAGGAGAAGAAGAAGAGAAGAGAAGGAAAAGAGAGTTGAGGGAAATTGGAAGGGGAGGTGAACCATAGAGACTATGGACTCTGAAAAACAATCTGAAGGTTTTGAAGGGGTGGGGGGTGGGAGGTTGGGGGAACCAGGTGGTGGGTATTGGAGAGGGCACGGATTGCATGGAGCACTGGGTGTGGTGCAAAAACAATGAATACTGTTACGCTGAAAATAAATTAAAAAGATAAAAAAAAGCAACATTAAAAAAAAAAAAGGCAAAAAATGAGAACACCAGAAGAGGGAAACTGCCATTTGGAAAATTCTGATTTGCTGCTACTAATGATAACAGTACTCTAATTACCATTGATGTAATTCTTTATAAGCTGTAAAATACAACTAGCTCATGTGATTAATCACCAAGTTGAGTATAGGTGTACAATAGTCTCAACCAATGTATTTTCTCTTTTGTAATTTGATTGGAAAGTCTGCAAACATCTCCCCGATCCGCTTGCCATTTATTTCTGGCTCCCAGGTCACATCTACAGGGGCCGGGCTAGAGTGACACCATGGTATTCCTCTTACCAAAAAAGTGTGTATTAGGAGGACAGAGAGAAAAAAAAGAGGAAAGAATGGGGGGGAAAGAATTTAAAAAAAAGAAAAAGAAAAATAGAAAATGATCTTGATGGAAAAAAAAAATTTTTTTTTTTTTAAGATATACTGTGGAAGGGGGTAGAATCCCATAACTAACTGCTGAGGAGGGACCTGCTTTGAGGAGTAGGGGAAGGCCCAGGGAGTGGGGCTGGGGGCTGCTCAATCACTCTGGGGTCTCACCATGGACACGTCTCAACGGTGCAAGCTGCTCCCCTTGTTTCCCTATCGCACTTCACTCCCTTGGGGGCTGCTCAAGGGTAGGTGGGCATGGGTGGTAGGAGGGGTATTTTTACCCAGGGCTCTGGAAGCACACCAAACTGTTCTGCTTATTACCTTCCCTCCATCTTCTCCCTAACTTTCCACAGTCCCCTCCACCTGCTCTTGTCTTGCCAATTTGCCAGCCACCCCACCCCTCTTTTCAGGCTGTCTGCCCTTCCAGATTCCTGGTGATCTCTCTTGTTTCCTTTTGTTTCTTTTTGTTTTGAGTGTCTTTCTTTGCAGGTTTCTGTAGCCAGAAGATCTCCCTCCTGCTCCCAGAGCCTCCAGTGTAAAATCCCCTACCCCCCTGGGGAAATGCACTACCTTGTTTTGGGGTGGGTTTTTCTTTGTTTTCCGGGTTTTTGTTTTGTTTTGTTTTCCTTTGCCTTTTTTTCCCTTTTATTTTATTTTTCCCTTTTATTTTATTCCCTTTTCCCCCCCTTTTATTTTATTGAACAGGGAGGTGGGAGGTGGATTTTTTTTTTTTTTTACTCATTTCCAGGGGGGTGGGAGCTTTTTTTTTTTTAATATGTATCATGAATAAAGTTGTCTTTGAAAATTTTTTAAAAATCACATTATTCCTTAGTCATCTTTCTATAAAATAGTGATGTCCATAGATGTTTCCATGCCCTTAGTTACATTCTATGCTGCATTATTTAGGTGTCTCATCAAGGACCTTAATGGGGCATCAGCAGCAGCCCGTCTTCTATCCCTTATTTTCCCCAGGGCCAACTTTTATCAAGGTGACAGTGAAAAAGGACAAGCACACTTTTATAATTCATTTAAAAGACCCTAAGGAAATTGTGAAAAGGGGAAAAAAAGAAGAGGATTGTTCTTCAGAAGATGTGAAAGAAAAAAGAGAGGAAGAGCAAAATCTTGAAACAGGTAAGCCGTAGCATCTCTGTGTCAAACCCACACATCTCTTCCACTTAGCAACTAGGCTCATTTTTCCAGATGGTAAGGAAAGTGTTTTGCGATTCTGCTTATATACATTTTCCCTGAGGAAATGTGTACCTGCATTATATACATAGCACATCTACAGTGGACTGCTAACTTGGTTTTGCCCCCTTTGGATGACCAGCCATTGATTCCAGTTGTCATACAAAGTCTATGTAGCTGGCTACCTTTATGTAGCAACATTGCATTTGCAATATCCATTCTGGCCTGAATTTTGTTTTACACAACTTGTATAAGTGCAGTCTCTAGGACTCAGGTCCGCATTAGTTGATTTCTACTGAAGTTTTAGCTTTTCTCCAATATTCACTACAAATGCTGGGCTTTCCTTCTGTGCTCTATCACAGCTCTCTCCATGGTATCAAATTTCTTAGGTTGCAAGGACAAGAGAAAAATCCTACATTTGGTCTTGATAGTCTCTACCTGCTAATAGATGAGAGCTCCAGGTGTTTGTCCATTGAAGATACAACACGAAACTTCCTGATAACACTATTTAACATCTCTAGGCAACACCACCCAGAGAAACAATGTTATCCGCCCAGTGTGACATAGGTTATACCTGCAAAAGGAGAAGAGTTAATTAATAGGATGTTTTAAACTCAAACTAGTAATAAGACAAATAGCCAAATCTTACTAATAAATTCATGGTCCCAGTATTTTCCAAACTCAAGAACATGATGTTTGAAAGTTTGAATGTACTCCAGACCTTAAAACAGAAATTTTTAAATTACTTTTCTTTGTTTTGCTTGATAAAAGACTATGTGGTTTATTATAAAAATTAGGAAATATAAGAATATTTAAAGAAAATGAGAGTTGCGCCTAATTCTACCACCCCAGCAGTGGCTACTATTGCAGTGTATTTCTTACTTTATCAGCATGAACATTTTCCCGTTCATTAAATACTCTTTGAAAACAAAATTTTCTAATAATTTCATAATAATTCATTGGTACATACATATATATCAATAATTGAATTATGTCCACATTTTTATCTATGTGATTTCCACTTTGCACTGTTTTGCTTACATTTCTTTTTAATAAAATGGAAATGTCCTTGATTTGAATTTGCCTTTTAGGAAAATCAGATGCAGAGAATAAAGTTATCAGCAAGTTTGGATCTTTTTCTGCCACCTTAGAAAATGGGATCTGCCTCTCAATAAGTTACTATGGACCAAGTGGAATGGCCCCAGGTAAAATAAGCACAATAGCAAGGATAAGTGTCCCATGACCAAGGGCATCTGCCCATCCTCAATCTGCTCACATGTTGATAAACTTGTTTTGATTTAATGCCCCTCTTTTCTTAGAAAGGTGGGAATATATGTTTGAGTGTGTACATACGTGTGTGTTTACATGTATGCACATATATAGTTGCTCATACATAGAAAATAACAGTGCTTTGACATTTGAAACAATTTATCATATATACAATTTTACATAGAATCACATATACATACAAAATTATATATATTTCAGTTATCTTTGTTAACTAGCCCGGGAAAATAAGTCTGTTCGTGCCCCCAAAAAGCATGATTTCTCAAAGTATCCTCTTGGTTTTCCACATAATGATATTTTTATGAGTCCTGTGATTGTGGAAATGCTCAGTGTGCTTCAGGACTTAACAGTCTTAAAGGAACCATTCATTGGACATCTTAAAGGATTTCTTTACCCCACATTTAATGAACAAATTCTCCAACTGGAAGCTATTTCCTTACAAACCACAAAATAATATGTCATTTAACCAAGAACCAATTGAGAAATTTTGTGGGCTCCCATGCATTTTACAGGGATATAGGCACACAGATTTAAAAAAAAAAAAAAAAAAGCTTTACAAAATTGGAAGATAATCCCTATGCTACATAGCCTTCAAACTACGTATAGATCATAGTGATCCAACTGTCTGACTTACTATGTAACTCCTTTTCTGCAGAAACTTCATTCCATAGGTTCTTTATAATCTTTTTCTTACCTTGTGCAAATATTGTAGTACTCTAGTGAGTTAGAGAGCCCATTAAATTTGTTAGTATTTTTTATTTATTTGGGATTTTGTCTTTTAATCTTATATTTGGTTTGTTTCTAAGCCAGCATTTGAAGTTATTCTCTGCCTAACAAATTATGTATTAACTCCATTATCACACACATTCACTAAAAAATCCTATCCCTTCTGAACATAGCTTATCGTGATTTCAGATTAAGATATTTATACTCTACTCTCTATCAACTATACTGCTGCTGTTTCCTAGTGATTTCCTTATTCTTGATTTCATCCTTAACTTATTATGCAATTATTCCATTTAAAACAAATGTTCCTAATTTCACATTTATAAGTACTGCATTTGAAAATGTTTATAATATGAAAGAAATAGAAAGGTTTCCAGTGTTCGTGGTTGGAAGAATGACTGTTGTTAAAATGTCTATACTATCTAAAGCAATCTACACACTTAATGCAATCCTTATCAAAATACCAAAAACATTTTTCACACAGCTAGCACAAACAATCCTAAAATTTGTATGGAACCACAAAAGACCCCAAATAGCCAAGGCAATCTTGAAAAGGAAAGCAAAGCTGAGGGCATCACATCTCCGGACTTCAAGTTATATTACAAAGCTGTAGTCATCAAGACAGTATGGTGCTGGCACAAAAATAGACACATATATCAGTGGAACAGAATAGAAAACCCAGAAATAGATTCACAACTATTTTTAGACAAAGCAGGAAAGACTATCCAATGGGAAAAAGACAGTCTCTTCAATAAATGGTGCTGGGAAAACTGGACAGCAACATGCAAAAGAAGGAAATTCAACCTCCTTCTTATACCTTACACAAAAATAAATTCAAAATGAGTGAAATACCTAAATGTGAGACAGAATACTATCAAAATCCTAGAGAAAAACATAGGAAGAAACATTTTCCACATCAGCCATAGCAACTTCTTACTAAACATGTCTCCAGAGGCAGTGTAAACAAAAGTAAAAATGAACTATTGGGACTTCAAGATAAAAAGCTTTTGCACCACAAAGGAAACAATCAACAAAACTAAAAGGCAACTAACAGAATGGGAGAGGATATTTGCAAATGATGTATCAGATAAAGGGCTAGTATCCAAAATCCATAAAGAATTTATCAAACTGAACACCCAAAAAACAAATAATCCAGTTAAGAAATGGGCAGAAGACATGAATAGACATTTTTCCAAAGAAAACATTCAGATAGCTAACAAATACACTCAAAGATGCTCAACATCACTTATAATTAGAGAAAAACAAGTCAAAACTACAAAGAGATGTCACCTCACACCTGTCAGAATGGCTGAAATTAACAACAGAGGAAACAACAGATGTTGGCAAAGATGCAGAGATAGGGGAACCCTCTTACAGTGTTGGTGGGAATCCAAACTGGTGTAGCCACTCTGGAAAACAATATGGAGGTTCCCCAAAAAGTTAAAAATAGAGTTGCCATCTGTTCCAGCAGTATATCAGGTATTTACCCAAAGAATACTAAACCGCTAATTTGGGAAGATATATACAACCATATGCTTATTGCAGCATTATTTACAATAGCCAAATTATGGAAGTAGCTCAAGTGTCCATCAGCAGATGAATGGATAAAGAAGATGTGATATATATGTATTTGTTTGATATAGATAGATAGATATAGATATTTTGATATATATTTGTTTGTTATATATATATATTTGTTTTAGATTATTTATTTATTTATTTATTTGACAGAAATCACAAGTAGGCAGAGAGGCAGGTAGAGAGAGAGGAGGAAGCAGGTTCCCCGCTGAGCAGAGAGTCTGATGCGGAGCTCGATCCCAGGACTCTGGGATCATGACCTGAGCCAAAGGCAGAGGCTTTAACCCACTAAGCCACCCAGGTGCCCCTATATATATTTGTTTTAAACAGAATAATTGCATAATAACATAAAACATAAAAGGAATGAAGTCTCATCATTTGCAACAACATGAATGGAGCTGAGAGTATAATGCTAAGAGAAATAAATCAGTTGGTGAAAGACAAATACTATGATTTCACTCATATGTGGAAGTTAAGAAACGAAACAGGTGAACATAGAGGAAAGTAAAAAAGAAAGAGGCAAACCATAAAACAGACATAACTGAGGCACCTGGGTGGCTCAGTGGATTAAGCCTCTGCCTTCGGCCCAGGTCATGATCTCAGGGTCCTGAGATCGAGCCCCACATCGGGCTCTCTGCTCAGCGGGGAGCCTGCTTCCCACCCCCCCGCCTGCCTCTCTGCCTACTTGTGATCTCTGTCTGTCAAATAAATAAATAAAAATTAAAAAAAAAAAACAGACATAACTATAGAGAGGAAAAAGAGGGTTGCTGGAGGGGAGTGGGCAGGGGGTGGGCTAAATGGATGATAGGTATTAAGGAGGGCAGTTGTGATGAGCACTGGGTCTTACAGGTAATTGATGAATCAGTAAATTCTACTCCTGAAACTAATACTATATGTTAGGTAACTGAAATTTAAAACTTCAAACAAAAATAAGTAAATTAATAAATAAATACTTGGAGAAATAAATTAAAGTCATCCAAATTGGCAAAGATAAGTAAAATTTTCACTATTTGCAGATGAGATGATACTGTACCCAGAAAACCCAAAAGACTCCACCAAAAAACTGTAAAAATGATAAATGAATTCAGTAATGTCACAGGACACAAACACAATGTAGAGAAATCTGTTGCATTTCTATTTACTAATTATGAAGCAGCAGAAAGAGAAATCAAGGAATCAGCCCCATATACAGTTGCACCAAAAACCGTAAGATACCTAGGAATGTGTATAGCAGCATCATCAACAATGGCCAAATTATGGAAATAGCCCAAATGCCTATCGACTAATGAATGGATAAACAAGATGTGGAATATATAAACAATGGAATATTATTCTGCCATAAAGAAGAATGAAATCTTTCCATTTGCAACCACATGGATGGAGCCAGAGAGTATTATGCTAAGCAAAAGAAGTCAGGAAAGAAAAATACCATATGATCTCACTGATCTGTGGAATTTAAGAAACAAATCCAAAGATTATATGGGACTAAAAAGAGAGAGGAAAACTAAAAAACAGACTCTTAACTAAGGAGAACAAACTGATGGTTACCAGAGGGGAGGGGGGATGGTTAAACAGATGATGGGGATTAAGGAGTGTACCTGCCATGACGAGAACAGGATGACATATGGAATTGTTCAATCACTATATTTTACACCTGAAACTAATATAACACTGCATGTTAACTAACCGAAATTAAAATAAAGACTTTAAAAAAAGAAAATGTTTATAATGTGAATAAAAAGTAATGTTTTCTTTCTTGTATATTAAGAAATGGAAGGCATGAGTATTTACAAAAAATATAAATTCCTTAGGAAACCCATAATACTGATATTTAAGAACTTTTATCTGCTGGTGAATAAAAAAAATTTCCAATCCAAGTCTCCTCCCCTTAATCGGGTATATAGCTTTCTAGAGATTATTCATCTTTTTTTTAAGATTTTATTAATTTATTTGACAGACAGAGAAGGAGGGAGCACAAGCAGGGGGAACTGCAGAGGGAGTAGGAGAAGCAGGTTCCCCGCTGAGCAGGAAGCCCTCCCCGGGGCTTGATCCCAGGACACTGAGCTCATGACCTGAGCCGAAGGCAGACCCTTAACCCATTGAGCCACTCAGGCACCCACGGAGCTTATTCATCTTGAGTGAAAATTTATACATATTGATTAATAAATCCCCATTTCCTTCTCCCACAGGCTATGGCAACCACTGTTTTACTCTTTTTATTAACATTATTTATTTTAATTAATTACCATATGATGTGTTATTGGCTTCAGAGGTACAGGTCTGTGACTCTTCAGTCTTATATAATACCCAGTGCTCATTACATCACATATCTTCCTCGATGTCTATCACCCAGTTACCCCAATCCACCAACCTCCCCTCCTGCAACCCTCAGTTTGTTTCCTATGACTAAGAGTCTCTTATGGTTTGTCTTCCTCTCTGGTTTTGACTTATTTTTTCCTTTCTTCCCCTATGATACTCTGTTTTGTTTCTTAAATTCCACAGATCAGTGAGATCATATGATAATTGTCTTTTTCTGACTGACTTATTTTGCTTAGCATAACACCATCTAGTTCCATCCATGTCATTGCAAATAGCAAGATTCCATTTTTTGATG